CAGAGTCGAAAGCCTTGGCCAGGTCAATGAAAACGGCTGCACAGTACTGTCTATTATCGATCGCGGTTATAATATCTGTATTGTTAGTACAGTGAGGGAAAAAAGTATTTGATCCCCTGCTGATTTTGTACGTTTGCCCACTGACAAAGACATGATCAGTCTATAATTTTAATGGTAGGTTTATTTGAACAGTGAGAGACAGAATAACAACAAAAAAATCCAGAAAAATGCATGTAAAAAAATTTATAAATTGATTTGCATTTTAATGAGGGAAATAAGTATTTGACCCCTCTGCAAAACATGACTTAGTACTTGGTGGCAAAACCCTTGTTGGCAATCACAGAGGTCAGATGTTTCTTGTAGTTGGCCACCAGGTTTGCACACATCTCAGGAGGGATTTTGTCCCAATCTTCTCCAAGTCATTAAGGTTTCGAGGCTTACGTTTGGCAACTCGAACCTTCAACTCCCTCCACAGATTATCTATGGGATTAAGGTCTGGAGACTGGCTAGGCCACTCCAGGACCTTAATGTTCTTCTTCTTGAGCCACTCCTTTGTGGCCTTGGCTGTGTGTTTTGGGTCATTGTCATGCTGGAATACGCATCCACAAACCATTTTCAATGCCCTGGCTGAGGGAAGGAGGTTCTCACCCAAGATTTGATTGTCCCTTTGATGCAGTGAAGTTGTCCTGTCCCCTTAGCAGAAAAACACACCCAAAGCATAATGTTTCCACCTCCATGTTTGACGGTGGGGATGGTGTTCTTGGGGTCATAGGCAACATTCCTCCTCCTCCATACACGGCGAGTTGAGTTGATGCCAAAGAGCTCGATTTTGGTCTCATCTGACCACAACACTTTCACCCAGTTCTCCTCTGAATCATTCAGATGTTCATTGGCAAACTTCAGACGGGCATGTATATGTGCTTTTTTGAGCAGGGGGACCTTGCGGGCGCTGCAGGATTTCAGTCCTTCATGGCGTAGTGTGTTACCAATTGTTTTCTTGGTGACTATGGTCCCAGCTGCCTTGAGATCATTGACAAGATCCTCCCGTGTAGTTCTGGGCTGATTCCTCACCGTTCTCATGATCATTGCAACTCCACGAGGTGAGATCTTGCATGGAGCCCCAGGCCGAGGGAGATTGTCATTTATTTAGTGTTTCTTCCATTTGCGAATAATCGCACCAACTGTTGTCACCTTCTCAACAAGCTGCTTGGCGATGGTCTTGTAGCCCATTCCAGCCTTGTGTAGGTCTACAATCTTGTCCCTGACATCCTTGGAGAGCTCTTTGGTCTTGGCCATGGTGGAGAGTTTGGAATCTGATTGATTGATTGCTTCTGTGGACAGGTGTCTTTTATACAGGTAACAAGCTGAGGTTAGGAGCACTCCCTTTAAGAGTGTGCTCCTAATCTCAGCTCATTACCTGTATAAAAGACACATGGGAGCCAGAAATCTTTCAGATTGAGAGGGGGTCAAATACTTATTTCCCTCAGTAAAATGCAAATCAATTTATAACATTTTTGACATGGGTTTTTCTGGATTTTTTTGTTGTTTTCTGTCTCTCACTGTTCAAATAAACCTACCATTAAAATTATAGACTGATCATTTCTTTGTCAGTGGGCAAACGTACAAAATCAGCAGGGGATCAAATACTTTTTTCCCTCACTGTAGATAGTTAACTGAAATGTTACGGATAGTCTGTAGAGCATCTACATAAGGACTATCCAAATAAATTGTTACCGAACAATATTGTGGGAATTGAATGGATAAGTGTTCAATGTCCAGGGAAAAGCATACCATTTTGCAGAACCCCTGCAAACGTCCTTATTTAACCCCTGGTTAACCATTCCCATTTTTCCTATGTTCTCCCAGCTTGTCTGAGCTGAAGAGACAGGTGGGGCAGTGCAGGGTGGAGCTGCAGAGGGGAGAGGAGATCCAGAGGCGTACCATGGAGACACGGAGGGAGTGTCTGGCACTACACTTCACTGACTGGAGGCTCCACCCTCTGCACCTGGTAGGAACATACCACACTAATAAAGGGAGGAGGGGTTGACATATGAGGAATACAAAGAGCCTCAAGGTAGGGCGTTATATGATGAGGTCCAGGAGTTTTTCCTGACCATATAGGGTCCAGAGTCATATAGGGTCCTCCTGGCCCTATTCATTATGTATATCAGACCAGTACAGTACAGACTTGTACATTGCACCTCAGTATTGATCTGAGATAGTGTCTATCTACCTCTGTGTGGATTGGAGAGAGTAAGAGAAAATGGGATTAGGATTAATGGTGGGGATAAAAGCTTTGGGGGTTTTACGTCAAGACAGACAATAAGACTACAGAGAACCCAGCTTTTAATTAAAGCTGCTCTGTGTTTGGATCAGTGACAGGGACTGGGAGCAAGGCGGAACTCAGAGATGTACTGTACAGAAGGGAACAGAGGAGACAAGCAATCTTGCTCTGTGTTTTAATCCAATTCACTCAACGAACATCAGACAGTATGAAAAATAGAAGTAAATCCATGTAATTTATATTTGTGGGGGGTGGGGTGGGGGGGGGGGGGGGGGGGGGGGAACCTTCAGCACTTTTCATCCTCAATATTGAGCACAGGCCAGCCTCAGATAAATCTCTCAAAGGCCGCTCCTGTAAGCACTACAAGCAACTATGCTCACTGTTTTTGCTGACCACCCACTCACTGTACAGATTTTTCAAACTCGCAATTGCATTTTCAAAATGAAAACTCTTCGCTATCCATATACACTCTTAGAAAAAAGGGTTCCAAAAGGGTTCTTCGGCTGTCCCCATAGGAGAACACTTTTTAGTTCCAGGTAAAACCCTTTTTGGTTCCAGGAAGAACCATGTTGGGTTCCATGTAGAACCCTCCGTGAAAAGGGTTCTACCTGAAACCAAGAAGGGTTCTTCAAAGGGTTCTCCTATGGGGACAGCTGAAGAACCCTTTTAGGTTCTAGATAGCATTTCTTTTTCTAAGAGTGTACTAGACGTCTGTAAGCCCACTAACACATGGCTATGTTGCAGGTGCAGAATGCTCTACTCAGCTTCAAGGAACTCCTTCATTCCAAAAGTTCAGGTATGTTCAGGTCATGATGCATTTAGAAGATTATCAGGCATTAGAACCAGTGTACAGGTGTAGGATCTTAACCTTTTACTGCAGTGGGCTAAATCAGGGCCACACAGAGGGATTCTTGGAAGTCTTAAACAAATCTACTTTTAAACAAAGGTATACACCTCACACACATGGTTATGGGCTCAAAAAAAGAAGACAGATTTAGAGTTGAAATGTATAACATTTTGAATTTGGATCCCAATATTACACTTTATATACATCACAGAAGACTGAAATATAACAAAACTGTTTGACATAGAAACACCGGATTTTTGTTGTAAAAAAATAAATAACTTTATTAAAGATGAAATTATATAAAATATTAAAAACATTCCACCCATGAGCCCAAAGAGGGCGCTTTTGGTTATTGACTGCAGGAATGGGATACTTTGAACACTACTGTTGCAGCCAAATAATCCTGCAGCAACAGGATTTGAACATTTAGTCCATAATGTTGCTTGATCGGTGGTTAGGCTATTAGCTGGCTAAAATTAGACTACATGAAAAGTGCAATGCTGTTAATATAACTGTGTGTTAGCGAGGGTTTTCAATAAATGTATGTAAATCACGAAGCTCATCTGCATTTCCTGCGGTGCAGGAAAATTCTCAACAACAAAAGAGTGATCAAATTAAGATCCTACATCTGTATTTAAGAGGGATTCTTTTTCAGATGATCAGTTGGCCTGGGACCTGAACACTGATGATTCTGGCACACATGACTCACTACAGCAAGACCAATTTGTCCATGTGAGAAATGCTTTATTTATTTTGTATCTTCCCCCTCGCTTGTGATTTGTATAGGCGAGCAGTGCTCAGTATTTATCTTCTGTTATTTTAATATGTCTGTCTGTCTGTGTCTGTCTGTCTGTCTGTCTGTCTGTCTGTCTGTCTGTCTGTCTGTCTGTCTGTCTGTCTGTCTGTGTCTGCCAGTATGCGTGTCAGTATGTCTCGGGGCTCTCTGAGGAGCAGTTCCAGCTGTTTCTGGAACATCTCTCCCTGTGTAGCCGGGAACACGGCTGTGCTGAGAATTTGAGGCACTGGACAGAGACACTCTCTCAGGCCTTCACCCACTGTGACTGTGCTAAGGTGACTGACTGAACCATGCTTAACCACCACCATTAACACACTGCAGTAAATACCATTATTAACTTTTTTTAATAGAACATAATTTCCCATTAGCTCGTCACCATATTTCTACTGCATAACGGATTGTAACTTGTGGTGAAATGATTGCAGAGAATCACATCAAGATTGATGGAGGATGTAATTTAACATAATAAAATCAAAGTGCTTTGAGATCTGATGAAAGTATCTATTTGTTTGTTTAGACTGGGTGTCTGGACAGAGAGAGAGTGTTGGCCCTTCTGCTGAGTTTCTACCATGATCAGAATGAGAGCACACAGGAGTCCATGCATGATCCTAACCACTGTGAGCAAACACGCACACACACACACGTACGCACGCACACGCACATGCACACATGCTAGAATGCATTCATACACATACGCACACACACACACACACAAGTATGTTCGCATAAGGCCTGAAGGTAAACAATCACAAGTTAATGGTTCTGAATATCTACAAAACTCACACGATATACTACAATGTAATGACATCATCTCAATATGTCCATGTATCTCTAGTCCATCTAGTGGACAAGTTGTAGCATTACTCACTTATTGCCTTCACGTTGAAAGGCAAATGTTTACTGACAGAGAGGACATAGACATGTCATTGTTACCATTATTCAGCTTGAATGTTCAAATTTAAGCTAGGAAAACAAGACTCATTGGAGAATCAGTAGTCAACAATAACAACAACAACTGCAACAACAACAACATCCACAATTGCTCTACAGGGCCATTACAAGAAGACGACCACATGACCGTTGGTCTCCTTGGAAGCCCTGTAGCCATGGAGACAGAGAAGGCCTGTATGCCATGTGATGCTGGACAGGGGGACATGCAGCTTCCATGCCATGAGATAAAGGGGGGAGAAGAGAGGAGGGGAGAGGGAAACAGGGTTACCCCCACAGAGAGCCTGGAGCTGGGGCACCAAACTGCCATACACAGCCCAGAACCTCCAGACGACCGAGCGAACATAGAAGAGGTCATGAAGGGGTCAGGGTCAGACAACCCAGCGCTGGACATAGAGGGGCTATGTGTTGTCGTGGAGTCTGGTCCCCTACCTGAAGGTGATTGTGTTGAATTCCTTGGTTGAGGTTTACATTTGACATTTTAAAAGGAACCAACACATAATGTGATAATTTTGAGGAAAGAGAAACCCGCACATTGCTCTTGCTCGTATCGTATCACTTTAGTCAGAGCAAGAGACTGGCAAGTAAGCTTGAATAAAAAAAATTGATACGAGCAAGAGCAGTGTACGGGTTTCTCTTTTGTTTGAGGTTTGCATTTGGCAAGACACAGAGCATAAGACTACAATGGAGACTTTTGATACAGTCCTCTGTAGCTCAGCTGGTAGAGCACGGCGCTTGTAACGCCAAGGTAGTGGGTTCGAACCCCGGGACCACCCATACACAAAAATGTATGCATGCATGACTGTAAGTCGCTTTGGATAAAAGCGTCTGCTAAATGGCATATTATTATTATTATAATAAAAAGCTCTGAAATCATGATCCTAGCCGTCGTTTGTTCATTCACCATCTATTCTCCACAGAAGCAGAGGATCCTGGGTCGTGCTGGACCATGTGTGCCTATGAAACTCAAACGGTGAGCCGAGGGCAGTTCCTGCAGCTTGTGCTCAGCTTCCTGGGGAGAGCATCCAGTGGCGCTATGGTGGACAGCCTGGCTGGACACATCAAAGCTGGCTACAGAGAGAAAGAGAGCGAGAGACTGCGCCGGCTGCAGCAGGTGATAAGATATTTAAGAGAGATGAGAGGAGCCAGGGAAGGAGGTGTCTGTGGCCCATAGAAATGGAATGACTAGTGTACTGTACTGTGCTGTACAATAGCCGTGGTGTGAGGGACTTTTCCTGCCCTTCTATTTCTATCCTGTGGACACTAACTTAGCAAGCAGTGGTGAAATACACAAATGGTGCCTAACTGTGTACCTAGGCCTTATGGGTTGTGTAGAATTAAAATAATTAAGGGTACTGTGTTGTCTTTAGTGTAACCAGCAGAAAGAAGAGGACAGGAGGTCAAAGGAGGTGTCGTCTCTTTTCTTCTCCTGGGACAGCGAGGGCAGAGGAGCAGTGGACAGAGAGGAGGTGGAGAGAGAGCTAAGTCTGTACAAGGATGGAGCAGAGGAAGGGGCCTTACAGAGAGGTCAGAGGTCACAGTGACTTGGTTGTGGAGGCTAACCAACATAGTAGAGCCAGCAAGTAAAAGTGGCTGAAATGACGTCATTACAACCACATTATAATGAGAACTGCCGGTAATCTGGTTGTAATGACGTAATTTCACCCAGCTTTCCCCACATAGTCTCTTTTAAAGTAGCAGCTGTGCTATGGGTGATGATTAAGTCCACCACATGTGTGTGCTGTCAATACTTTATCTGTCCATTTCATACAACCTTAACCACACACTCTCTCTTATGTCCCCCCCTGCTCTGTTCAAGCCTGGCAGCATGGTGAGCCACCTCTCTCCAGCTGCTCTGTCCTCTCTCTGGGACAATTCCAGGCCTTACTGAGGGCTTTCCTGGTGGAGCTGCCACCAGAGGAGGGTTCAGGGGTCTGGGCCTTCCAGGAGCTCCTGGTCTACCTGCAGGAGCGGGCAACCCTGCGAGGGAGCAAGGACAGGGGTAGAGGGGCTACCAGGCAGGCCTGGCTGCAGGAGATTGGGAGAGCAGCCCAAAGAGGTTCAGCCCAGATGGAGCCTGTTTATGGAGCTGTGTTTAGCGCCGTGCTCAGAGTGAGTCTGACGTGTAGAATAGTGTAGTTTCACTTTAACTTAATGGCTAGTCAGTAGCATACAGATGCATAAAACAATAGTCAACAGTCTGAAATAGGTAATATTGTATAATATGTATACTGCTTAAAATAAGTCGCTTAGGTGATTTGTGGTTCTATATAGATCCTTTTTTTTATCCTTTTGGTCTTAAGTGTGCCATTGAACCCTTTTTGGTTCTATATTGCATCATTTCTTCTTACACTCTTATGGTGAATGTGGATTCGTTGAAGACAGTTTGTGTAGTTTGTCCAGTTGATCACAGTAAAGCACTTTGTTATTGTAAAGCATTCTGTGACAACTGCTGATTAAAAAATGGCTTTATAAAATAAATGTGATTTGAAGTCATGCTTGTCTGTGTGTGGCAGGATGCAGAGGTGAATGCGAAGGGGAAGCTGTTGAGTGTCTCTGTAGCCCTGCTGGAGGAAGAGGAAACAGGCTCCAGGCTGAGTTACGTGGCCTGTACTACTGAGGATGCCCGCCTGGTTCTCAACAAGATGCTCCAGCCACACCAGGCCCCTGTCAGGTCAGTGTCTGGAGATAGCGCTGCCCTTGTTAGCGACACGTCAATCAACCAATCAATCACACAATCAGTCAATTTAGCCTTTAGTATAACCGTCTTACCCATAGCAACATGTCAGCTGCAGCTTGTGTCTATGTTATTTGTTGGTCTAGTCGTTTTAGCCATTAAACCATCCTCTCTAACCCTGTAGCCCCTCTATGCTCTCATTCACTCACTCACTCACTCACTCACTCACTCACTCACTCACTCACTCACTCACTCACTCACTCACTCACTAATGCCATTTCAGTTTCAACCATAGGCAGATCTGAAATGCTACAGTTTCTTATGGTTTTTGGTAGCACAGGAAATTCTTTCAGAACCCTGTTACCTGTTATTGTAGCTATCCTCTATCTCTCTCATTATAGGATCTCTGACTATTTATTTTACTGTTTCTCCCTGCTGTAGTTTCTCAGCCATAGTGAGCTGTAGTCCAGTGCACGTGCCCAGAGTGGGCGTTCACGGAGGGGTCTACCTTTTCGACGAGTCTCGAGCCGCTTCACATTGTTATGGCTCGTTCATCGCCATTCCCATATTGGACCCCCGAGAGCAGGGACGAGCTATTGGGGTGCTGGGTCTCGACACACTCCGAGATTCAAACGACACACACCTGTTCTCACGCCACGAGATAGACTTCTACCAGGTGAGAGGAATGGCTGCTCCCAGATCTGTTTGTGCTGTCTTACCAATTTACCAACATTTGGCTGACAATGGCCATATGCGTTAACAAGACAGCACAAACAGATCTGGGACCTGGCTAGAATGGCTGTATAAAACCCAGGGGGATATTTATATAAAGCTCAAGGAGTATTCAATGAGGAAGTACATATCCTAAAAACACCATTCATTAGCTCATTGGCTTTGAATCAATAATGATATCTTATTTTTACCCAGGGGGTGAGCAGTGAATTCAGCAGAGCTCTCCATTATGTGGTGACTCACCGCAGCATACTGCACATTGTGGAGAGCGCCTCACTCTGGCTACACAGTAGAGTCTCTGCCATTCACAGTATCACCACCTATCTGATGGAGGCTTCAGATGGACAGGTAACTGTAGAGAAGACAGTAACATCAATCCACTAAACGATACTTTCTATACACAGCATTCATACACTAAATAAACAATTTAAACATATATATCACCCACACATTAGCTTAACCACAAATTCAGGTACACAGAAGTGACCAAATAGGAGATCTAACCAACTTTAAGTAGGCTAATAAGCACCATTTACAGGGCAGTGACTACTCTCTGAGGAAGATGATGGTGATGGAGGGAGGTTCTAGTCGCTCCCATTGGCTCTCCCCTCCTCCTTCCTTACACCGCTCAGATCACTTCTCCAGGTAAATCATTTGACCTGTTTTAGTCTGTAATGTATGTCTTTGCTAGTACTGCAATACAATGTCAAACCACTGTAATGACACATTGATCTACTAGCCTATGACAGTCTATGGAACTACTGTGGTATTCCTAATTCAGTGTCCATATGAGGTTCTAGCCTGATACTAGATCTGTTTCTGCTGCATATACCAAACATGACAATCAAATCAAATCAAATCACATTTTATTCGTCACATGCGCCGAATACAACCTTACAGTGAAATGCTTACTTACATGCCCTTAATCAACAATGCAGTTTTAAGAAAGAATACCAAAAAAATACCCCCCCACCCCCCCCAAAAATAAAAGTAACAAATAATTAAAGAGCAGAAGTAAAATAACAATAGCGAGGCTATATACAGGGGGTACCGGTACCGAGTCAATGTGCGGGGGCACAGGTTAGTCGAGGTAATTGAGCTAACATGTACACTACCGTTCAAAAGTTTGGGGTCACTTAGAAATGTCCTTGTTTTCGAAAGAAAAGCAATTTATTTGTCCATTAAAATAACATCAAATTGATCAGAAATACAATGTAGACATTGTTAATGTTGTATATGGCTATTGTAGCTGGAAACTGATGATTTTTAATGGCATATCTACATAGGCGTACAGAGGCCCATTATCAGCAACCATCAGTCCTGTGTTCCAATGGCACGCTGTGTTTGCTAATCCAAGTTTATCATTTTAAAAGGCTAATTGATCATTAGAAAACCCTTTTGCAATTATGTAAGCACAGCTGAAAACTGTTGTGCTGATTAAAGAAGCAATAAAACTGGCCTTCTTGAGACTAGTTGAGTATCTGGAGCATCAGCAATTGTGGGTTCGATTACAGAATCTAAATGTCCAGAAACAAATAACTTTCTTCTGAAACTCGTCAGTCTATTCTTGTTCTGAGAAATGAAGGCTATTCCATGTGAGAAATTGCCAAGAAACTGAAGATCTCGTACAACGCTGTGTACTACTCCCTTCACAGAACAGCGCGAACTGGCTCTAACCAGAATAGAAAGTGGAGTGGGAGGCCCCGGTGCACAACTGAGCAAGAGGACAAATACATTAGAGTGTCTAGTTTGAGAAACAGACGTCTCACAGGTCCTCAACTGGCAGCTTCATTAAATAGTACCCGCACCACACCAGTCTCAACGTCAACAGTGAAGAGGCGACTCCGGGATGCTGACCTTCTAGGCAGAGTTGCAAAGAAAAAGCCATATCTCAGACTGGCCAATAAAAAGAAAAGATTAAGATGGGCAAAAGAACACAGACACTGGACAGAGGAAGATTGGAAAAAAGTGTTATGGACAGACAAATTGAAGTTTGAGGTGTTCGGATCACAAAGAAGAACATTTGTGAGACGCAGACCAAATGAAAAGATGCTGGAGGAGTGCTTTATGCCATCTGTCAAGCATGGTGGAGGCAATGTGATGGTCAGGGGTGCTTTGGTGGTGGTAAAGTGGGAGATTTGTACAGGGTAAAAGGGATCTTGAAGAAGGAAGGCTATCACTCCATTTTGCAACGCCATGCCATACCCTGTGGACGGCGTTTGATTGGAGCCAATTTCCTCCTACAACAGGACAATGACCCAAAGTACAGCTCCAAACTATGCAATAACTATTTAGGGAAGAAGCGGTCAGCTGGTATTCTGTCTATAATGGAGTGGCCAGCACAGTCACCGGATCTCAACCCTATTGAGCTGTTGTGGGAGCAGCTTGACCGTATGGTACGTAAGAAGTGCCCATCAAGCCAATCCAACTTGTTGGAAGTTCTTCAGGAAGCATGGGGTGAAATCTCTTCAGATTACCTCAACAAATTGACAACTAGAATGCCAAAGGTCTGCAAGGCTGTAATTGCTGCAAATTGAGGATTCTTTGACGAAAGCAAAGTTTGTAGGACACAATAATTATTTATATTAAAAATCATTATTTCTAACCTTGTTTTTTGCTATATTTCCTATTCAAACTCATTTCATGTATGTTTTCATGGAAAACAGGGGGGGGGGGGGGTTCAATGCAAATAGTCTGGGTAGCTATTTGATTAGATGTTCAGGAGTCTTATGGCTTGGGGGTAGAAGCTGTTTAGAAGCCTCTTGGACCTAGACTTGGTGCTCTGGTACCACTTGCCATGCGGTAGCAGAGAGAACAGTCTATGACTAGGGTGGCTGGAGTCTTTGACCATTTTTAGGGCCTTCCTCTGACACTGCCTGGTGTAGAGGTCCTGGATGGCAGGAAGTTTGGCCCCAGTGATGTACTGGGCCATATGCACTACCCTCTGTAGTGCCTTGCGGTTGGTGGCCGAGCAGTTGCCATACCAGGCAGTGATGCAACCAGTCAGGATGCTCTCGATGGTGCAGCTGTAGAACCTTTTGAGGATCTGAGGACCCATGCCAAATATTTTCAGTCTCCTTAGGGGGAATAGGTTTTGTCGTGCCCTCTTCACGACTGTCTTGCTGTGCTTGGACCATGTTAGTTTGTTGATGATGTGCACACCAAGGAACTTGAAGCTCTCAACCTGCTCCACTACAGCCCCGTCGATGAGAATGGGGGCATGCTCGGTCCTCTTCTTTTTCCTGTAGTCCACAATCATCTCCTTTGTCTTGATCACGTTGAGGGAGAGGTTGTTGTCCTGGCACCACACGGCCAGGTCTCTGACAACCTCCCTATAGGCTGTCTCGTTGTTGTCATCGGCAAATTGATGATGGTGTTGGAGTCGTGCCAGGCCATGAAGTCATGAGTGAACAGGGAGTACATTAGGGGACTAGGTACGCACCCCTGAGGGGCCCCTGTGTTGAGGATCAGCGTGGCGGATGTGTTGATACCTACCCTGACAACCTGGGGACGGCCCTTCAGGAAGTCCAGGATCCAGTTGCAAAGGGAGGTGTTTAGTCCCAGGATCCTTAGCTTAGTGATGAGCTTTGAGGGCACTATGGTGTTGAATGCTGAGCTGTAGTCAATGAATAGCATTCTCACATAGGTGTTCCTTTTGTCCAGGTGTGAAAGGGCAGTGTGGAGCGCAATAGAGATTGCATCATCTGTGGATCTGTTGGGGCGGTATGCAAATTGGAGTAGGTCTAGGGTTTCTGGGATAATGGTGTTGATGTGAGTCAATCTCTGAAGCTGGAGACACTTATCTCCCTCACTAACTTTAAGCATCAGTTGTCAGAGCACCTTACCGATCACTGCACCTGTACACAGCCCATCTGAAATTAGCCCGCCCAACTACCTATATTGTTATTTATTTTGCTCATTTGCACCCCAGTATCTCTATTTGCACATCATCTCTTGCACATCTATCATTCCAGTGTTAATACTAATTGTAATTATTTTGCACTATAGCCTATTTATTGCCTTACCTCCATAACTTGCTACATTTGCACACACTGTATATATATTTTTCTGTTGTATTTTTGACTTTGTTTTGTTTTACCCCATATGTAACTCTGTGTTGTTGTTTTTATCGCACTGCTTTGCTTTATCTTGGCCAGGTCGCAGTTGTAAATGAGAACTTGTTCTCAACTGGCTTACCTGGTTAAATAAAGGTGAAAAAATAAACCAAAAAAATTATGACCAGCCTTTCGAAGCACTTCATGGCTACAGACGTGAGTGCTACGGGTCGGTAGTCATTTAGGCAGGTTATCTTAGTGTTCGTGGGCACAGGGACTATGGTGGTCTGCTTGAAACATGTTGGTATTACAGACTCAGACAGGGAGAGGTTGAAAATGTCAGTGAAAACACTTGCCAGTTGGTCAGCGCATGCTCGGAGTACACGTCCTGGTAATCCGTCTGGCCCTGCGGCATTATAAATGTTGACCTCTTTAAAGGTTCTTACTCACATCGGCTACGGAGAGCGTGATCACACAGTCGTCCGGAACAGCTGATGCTCTCATGCATGTTTCAGTGTTACTTGCCTCGAAGCGAGCATAGAAGTAATTTAGCTCGTCTGGTAGGCTTGTGTCACTGGGCAGCTCGCGGCTGTGCTTCCCTTTGTAGTCTGTTATAGTTTGCAAGCCCTGCCACATCCGACGAGCGTCAGAGCCGGTGTAGTACGATTCGATCTTAGTCCTGTATTGACGCTTTGCCTGTTTGATGGTTCGTCGGAGGGCATAGTGGGATTTCTTATAAGCTTCCGGGTTAGAGTCCTGCTCCTTGAAAGCGGCAGCTCTACCCTTTAGCTCAGTGCGGGTGTTGCCTGTAATACATGGCTTCTGGTTGGGGTATGTACTGTGGCGTACAGCAGGTCAGCCACCAGGGGGAGACTCGTCGAGGCCTGGTAACAGATGGAGTATACATCACGAGGCGGTGGCTCCATCTGCTCGACGTGCCAGGTTTCGACGGGCTCCCCGGACAGGACTAATTGGGGCTGATTGGGAGCTGGTGAGTAATTAAGGGCGGATTGCTCACCAGCTGTGCAAGGCCCATAAAGCTGCCAGAAGGGCAGCACACGAGAGAGGACTGGGGGAAGTAAGGTAACTTTGTGTAGTTGGAGACCGTATCCTGGAGAGGGTCTCATGGGGGAGACCTAACCTTTTCTTTTGATTATTTGATTAATAAACACCCTTGAAACCGAGCTAATCATACTCTGTCCGTGTCTGATCTGTGTAAACGTCTTGACCCAACCCCCTGATCTGCCACAGTACGTACAGTCATTGTGGGGATGACGTCATCGATGCACTTATTGGTGAAGCCAGTGACTGATGTGGTGTACTCCTCAATGCCATCGGAAGAATCCCGGAACATATTCCAGTCTGTGCTAGCAAAACAGTCCTGTAGCTTAGCATCTGCTTCATCTGACCACTTTCTTATTGACCGAGTCACTGGTGCTTCCTGCTTTAGTTTTTGCTTGTAAGCAAAAACTCAGGAGGATGTAATTATGGTCAGATTTGCCAAATGGAGGGTGAGGGAGAGCTTTGTATGTGTCTCTGTGTATGGAGTAAAGGTGGTCTCTAGTTTATTCCCCTCTGGTTGCACATTTAACATGCTGGTAGAAATGAGGTAAAACAGATTTAAGTTTCCCTGCATTAAAGTCCCCGGCCACTAGGAGCGCCACCTTTGAATTAGCGTTTTCCTGTTTGCTTATGGCCGTTTAAAGTTCATTGAGTGCGGTCTTAGTGCCAGCATCGGTTTATGGTTGTATATAGACAGCTACGGAGAATATAGATGAAAACTCTCTTGGTAGATAGTGTGGTCAACAGCTTATCATGAGATACTCTACCTCAGGCGAGCAAAACCTTGAGACTTCCTTAGATATCGTGCACCAGCTGTTGTTTACAAATATACATAGACTGCCACCCCTTGTCTTACCAGAGGCTGCTGTTCTATCCTGCCGATACAGTGTATAACCACCATGCCAGCTGTATGTTATTCATGTTGTCGTTCAGCCACGACTCGGTGTAACATAAGATATTACAGTTTTTAATGTCCCGTTGGTAGGATATACGTGCTTGTAGTTCGTCCACTTTATTATCAAGCGATTGTACATTGGCCAATAGTATCGATAGCAAAGGCAGATTAGACACTCATCGCCGGCTCCTTACCAGGCATCCCGATCTCCTTCTGCGATATCTCCTTTTCTTTCTACTGCGAATGACTGGGATAAGGGCCCTGTTGGGTGTCTGGAGCAAATCCCTCTCGGCCGACTCATTAAAGAAAAATGATTTGTCCAGTTCAAGGTGAGTAATCGCTGTTCTGATGTCCAGAAGCTCTTTTCGGTCATAAGAGACGGTAGCAGCAACATTATGTACAAAATAAGTTACAAACAATGCAAAAAAACTAACAAAATAGCACAGTTGGTTAAGAGTCCATAAAACGGCAGCCATCCCCTCCGGTGCCATTAGGAGTTGGCAAGACAGTACAAACAGATCTGGGACCAGGCTAATGTAGATACACCCTCTCTTCCAGAGACTACCTGTTCCAGTGCTGTGACACCTCACAGGTTGGGTACTATGTGGTGTTTGGGGCGTACAGACTGGTGCTCCCTGTGAGGGACTCAGCTGGGTGGGCCCTGGGGGTGGTGGACATGGAGTTAGAAACCCTCTCATCGGGCCACCAGGGGGGGCTGCAGCCACACGAGCGCAGGGACCTGTCTGCTGCAGGGAAGGCAATGCAGGCTGCATGTGTTCAGCTGCACAGAGAGAGCACTGGGACGAGCAGGCAACACAGACTTCTAGGTGAGAGGCATGGTGGTAGGGAAAGGGGAAAGCTAAGAGGCCAAACTAGAGTACAATAGGACCATAATGATTATTTTTGGTCATAAGCCATATTACATACACTCCTGCAGTTTTTCATGTAACCAATAGCCGTACACAAAATCCACAAAAGTATAATTACCAAGACTTGCCAAGAAATTGGCATATTAAGTCATTGCTAATCTAAGACAATTTTTATCTTCTACAGAGGCGGAGGGCCTGGGAGGGGAGCGGCGGGCGTCCATCTTGTTCCTATGTTTCATGCTGGAGCACCTGCGCCATCGCTGTCTGTCCAGATTGGACCAATCAATTGTAGCGGAGCTCCAGAGCTCCCAGGATGCACCTCACCACCTCCCTGTCAGTCAAGTCGTGAAGGCGGTGCTTCTACTGCTGTACCCTGAAAGGGAGGGCTCTGTCCATACAGACGATTGGTGCCAAAAGATGGTGAGAATTTCACTAGGTTTGAATGCAGGCTTGTCTCTATTTGCATACTGGAAGACAATGGCCCTATTCCGAGAGCATACATTTTGCTTAATCGTAGATCACCAACTGAGCAGACTGACTGATCTAAAAGTAATAATGAGTAGTTATTTATCTTGCAAGGGGATTTGGAGATCAGTCAGTCTGCAGTAGCCGACTGCAATGTAGTTGATCTCAAACATGACTAATGTGTTTTTAGTAGGCCCACTTGATACATCATGAGGATATGTATCGCTTTTGTCTACCAATTACCTTTGACCTTTCGCATCAGATGGTGAGCACTGACCTGCGCCATAGGCTGGCCAGGTTTGACCCCTTAGCCAGGGCAGTGAGAGTGGACAGGGAGCTGGTCCACAGCTGCATAGCAGGTAGGCCTATGACAGACACGCTCCGGGGTGAAGTTTCCCATAGATACAAATCACTGATCCTAACCTTAACCATCAATGGGGGAAATTCAAAATTGACCCCAGATCAGCGTATAGGGGCAACTCCACCGGTTCACCCTACACCTGCAGCCTGGTCTCATAGACTAGACGTAACATAGTAAATGAAAATCTGTGAAACTCGAATTAGTATGATATGTTACTTTTGGTATGGTTACATAAGACAGAAGGAAGGGTGATTGGTCAGGGTTGCGTGTTCACATCTCATCACTGACAAATTTAGCATTTTAGCAATTTTGCAACTACTTACTACTTTTTAACTACTTTGCAACTATTTAGTATGTTAGCTAACCTTCCCTAACAACCTAGCTAACGTTAGCCACAACAATTGCAATTCGTAACATATCATGCGAATTGTAATACGGAACATATAATACGAAATGGATTATGAACATCTTCAAATTAATACATACCATACCAAACGCAACATATCACTAATTTGAGTGTCCCGGATTTTCATTTACTATGTTATGTCTACCCCTGAGTCCAGGCTGACACCTGAGTGAGCTGTGACATAAACAAAACCAGCTTCAGATTTGATCATAAATAATCAAAATGAAGCCTTCAGTGTCCTTTTGCTCATTCATTCAGATTTATCAAAGGGGAATGTGTCTGTTTTCATACATTGTGTCCACATAGTGGAGGGCTTTTAAGTGATATTTAAAGCTGGTTCTTCTTCTGTTTCAGGAGTGGAAAGGAGGGAGTTGGGGCAACATGGATCATTACCACTGGAGGACCTGTATGACTGGGTGTCCATCTGTTTGTCTGTCTGTTCCTACTAGATTCAAGTTTCAAAGTTTATTCGCCACGTACACAGTATACAACAGTACAGTCAAATTCTTACCTTGAGAGCTCTTTCCCAACAATGCAGTGATAATAATAATATAGATAACAATAGAACATTTAAAACATGTGATTTAATTAAAAAAACACACAAGAACAATGATGTGAGTTAGAAACATGAGAATGCAAGTGTATACAGGTCAGTGCCAGTACCTTATTCGATTTGCATGGGTTTCTACATAAAAAGTGACTGGTTGCAGGATATACATGTAAACAGGGCTGAAAAGTGACTGGAAGCAGGAATATATAAATACTTATGGTAATACACTAATGGTAATATACATGTAAACAGGAGTAATAGTGACCAGTAGCAGGATAAATAGATACAGTGCCTTCAGGAAGTATTCACACCCCTTGACTTTTTCCACATTTTGTTGTGTTACAGCCTGAATTTAAAATGGGTTAAATTGAGATTTTTTTGTCACTGGCCTAAACACAATACCCAAAAATGCAAAGTGTAATTATGTTTTTCAAAGTTTTTACACATTTATAAAAAATGCTGGAATTAATGTCTTGAGTCAATAAGTATTCAATCCCTTTGTTATGGCAAGATTAAATAAGTCACATAATAAGTTGCATGGACTCACTCTGTGTGCAATAATAGGGTTTAACATGATTTTCTAATGACTACCTCATCTCGGTATCCCACATATACAATTATATGTAAGGTCCCTCAGTATGTTCAGTTACAGAGTTTAATGGCTGTGATAGGAGAAGACTGAGGATGGATCAACAACATTGTAGTTACTCCACAATACTAACCTAATTGACAGAGTGAAAAGAAGGAAACCTGTACAGAATACAAATATTCCAAAACATGCATCCTGTTTGCAACAAGGCACTAAAGTAATACTGCAAAAAATGTGGCAAAGCAATTACATTTTTGTCCTGAATACAAAAGTGTTCTGTCTGGAGCAAATCCAACACAACACATTACTGAGTACCACTCTCCATATTTTCAAGTGTAGTGGTAGCTGCATCATGTTATGGGTATGCTTGTAATCGTTAAGAACTGGGGAGTTTTTCAGAATAAAAAAGAAACGTAATTGAGCTACAGTAAGCACAGGCAAAGTCCTGTGATATGAATTCACCTTTCAGCAAGACAATAACCTAAAACACAAGGCCAAATCTACACTGGAGTTGCTTACCAAGAAGACAGTGAATGTTCCTGACTGGCCGAGTTACAGTTTTGACTTAAATCTACTTGAAAATCTATGACCTGAAAATCATTGTCTAGCATTGATCAACAACCGATTTGACAGAGCTTCAAGAATTCTGAAAAGAATAACGGGCAAATGTTGCACAATTCAGGTGTGGAAAGCTCTTAGAGCAGGGGTGTCAAACTCGTTTTAGCTCAGGGGCCACATGGAGGAAAATCTATTCCCAAGTGGGCCGGACCGGAAAAATCATGGTATATATAACTTAAAAACAACAACTTCAGATTGTTTTCTTTGTTTTAATACGATCAACATACAACATAAAGCTGGAGCCTGAGGACAGTGTGTCCAAAATAGTACAAGCACAACATCACTATTAATCATAAAACACGTCAAGTTTATTTGAAAATTCTAAAGAAAAAGAACACACAAACACACAATGCCTCAGTGATTAACAGAACTGTTTCACAGATCACAGAACTATATCAGGGTGTCATTTCTCAGGCAGAAATGTAGATAAAAATAATGAAATCCTGTTCCCAAAACAAGTGCAAAAACCACAGAGTCAAGAATAGGTTAAATATACAAATAAAATAAAATCAATTAAAAACAATAGCACATCAACATAAAAACATATAAACATAAAGCTGGAGCCTGAGGACAGTGTCCAAAAGCACAACATCACTATTAATCATAAAACACCTCAAGTTATTTGAAAGTTCTGAGGACAAAGAACACACAAACACACAATGCCTCAGTGATTCACAGAAGTATATCACAGATCACAGAACTATATCAGGGTGTCATTTCTCAGGCAGAAATGTAGATAAAAATAATGAAATCCTGTTCCCCAAACAAGTGCAAGAACCACAGAGTCAAGAATAGGTTAAATATACAAATAAAATAAAAACAATTAAAATCAATAGCACATCAACATAAAAACATATACATAAATCTGAAAGCGTTGCTCAAACTCCCGTAACAGTCCCGTTATTTTATCTTTGAACCGCTTCATGTCTGCCACATGTTGGGTCGCACACACATTTTTCAGACAGGGGAAGTGAGCTGCATCACCACCGGCAAGTTGCGTCTCCCACAATGACAGCTTCAACTTGAAAGAACGTATGCTGTCATAATACCGCGTGACAACTTTGTTGCGCCCTTGCAGCTGTTTGTTCAAGTTATTCAGGTGCTCTGTAACATCCACCATAAATGCAAGGTCCGGCATCCATTCTGCGGAATGAAATTCTAACACTGGTTTGCCCTTTTCTTCCATGAACTGTTCAATTTCTTCTCGTAAATCAAAGAAATGCCTCAGCACAGCACCTCGGCTTAACCATCTTACCTCAGTGTGGTATGGCAGGCCATAGATGTGGTCTTTCTCTCTGAGAAGGCTGTCAAACTGACGGTGATTCAGGCTTCTGGATCGGATGAAATTAACAGTTTGGATGACCACCTTCATGACGTTATCCATCTTTAATGACTTGCAACACAAAGCCTCCTGGTGTAAAATACAGTGAAAAGTCAAAAAATCACGTCCTCCATTTGCAGATTGCACTTTCTCTCTGAACTTTGTCACAACGCCTGCTTTTTTTCCCGATCATTGAGGGCGCACCATCTGTAGCCAGGCTGACAGCGCGGGACCAGTCCACTCCGACCCTATCCAGCGCGCCGACGAGTGCGGTAAAAATATCAGCTGCTGTCATTGTATCTGTCATCGGCACCAACTCCACGAACTCCTCGGTGACGGTCAATGTGTCATCAACTCCGCGGATGAAAAAATGGCCAGTTGTGCAACATCTGTAATGTCCGTGCTTTCATCAATTGCAACCCGAAAACGCAATAAATGACTTTACTTTTTGCTTCAACTGGCTGTCCAAATCCACTGAAAGATCGGAAATCCTGTCTGCAACTGTGTTTCTTGTCAGGCTGATATTTGCAAAAGCCTGCCGCTTTTCAGGGCACACAATCTCCGCTGCCTTCATCATGCATGTTTTTACAAATTCACCCTCACTAAATGGTTTTGAAGCCACTGCGATTTCATTAGCAATGAGGTAGCTAGCTTTCACTGCAGCGTCACTAATGTCTCGGCTGTGAGTAAACACAGACTGCTGTTTCTTCAGACCCGCCAACAGTTCATTCATCTTCTCTCATCTCCGCTGTCCTTGAAAGTTGTCATATTTGTCGGCATGAAGACTCACATAGTGGCGACGAAGGTTATATTCTTTCAGCACTGCAACATGCTCTGAACACACCAAACATACAGCTTTCCCATTCAATTCCGTGATTAAATAGGATGACCATTTTTCTTGGAACACTCTGCACTCTGTGTCCACTTTTCTCTTTTTTGACAGAGACATATTGGGGCAATGAGGGTGCCAAAGCACATAATGTTAAAAGAAGAAGCCGTAATAAATATCGCGGGCAAAACAAAGTAGCTCATTGGCTGCACGTGCTTGACCTACTTGCTCTGCCCCGGTATAAACAGTTTGCTTGCTAAACACAATTGCTATTGCGCCATCCAGTGGACGCAATTGGAACAGCAGTTTATTTTATTGAATAAAAAAATAAAAAAATAAAAAAATATTTTTTTCTTTCAAAATCATCTCGCGGGCCGGATTAAACCCGTTTGCGGGCCTGATCCGGCCCGGGGGCCGTACGTTTGACACCCCTGTCTTAGAGGCTTACCTAGAAAGACTCACACCTGTAATTGCTGCCAAAGGTGATTATAACATGTATTGACTCAGGGGTGTGAATACTTATGCAAATTCGATATTTCTGTATGTTGTGTAGATGGGTGTGAAAAAATCTATTTAATCAATTTTGAATTCAGGCTGTAACACAACAAAATGTGGATTAAGTCAAGGGGTATGAATACATTCAGAAGGCACTGTATCTGCACCTATGTGACGTAGTACGCAATTCTCGGGGAACACTTTTGGCTCGTGAGTGCTACTTTCAGAACTACTGGCAAAAAAGTATACAAAAGTACAGAAGAATCTCTTTAATGTTTAACTATTTTTTTTCTCTGAAAAATATATTATTTTATAAATTAAATAATGTTGCCTATTGCATTTACAACACAACAGTACAACAACAAATCAAAATACCCCAAAAATAACTTGAAACATATGTTTTAAATGCAATATATTTTTATTACTATTCTAAAGAAATTAAATTACAAACAGAAAATGGAAGTCTTCAAAGGTGGCAGTCTCCATGTGATCTCATTTGGAGATGTAATATCTGCAGCTTTTATTCAATATCACTTGGTTTAAGAAGTAGTCCTCAGTCTTAATTGACGCAAACCTCAGTGAGCCCAGACTGTGTGTAGCAGGGCTTCTCGGTTGCCTCGTAGTTGGATGCCTCAGCATTGTCAGATACAACTTTGGCTAGCTTGGTGTCGAATGGGTTCAATGCCACCTGGATGGCAGGCTCAGAGTCAGGCACAAGGAAGTTATCTGGGATGCTAGGCAGAGGCGGCTCACACTCTCTCAGGCTGACAGCACTCTTTCCAGGTCTCTTTTCCGACTCAGATTTGTCCTTAGTGGAGATGAACTCCTTTGACTTCTGCAACTCTTTTGCAGAATCGTCAGAAATGGGGGCACACTGTGGTGTGGATGATGCTTGTTTCAAACCAAACCGTGAAGAGATGCTCTCCCGAACTCTGGATGCCAGTGTCTGTGGTTCAGCGGTGGCTGGTTCCCTTTTCTTCAACCTGGCAGTGGCAATAGCATCAGATCGCCTTCTAGCCTCCTTGGAGATTCTCACAGCATCATAGAGAACCACTATTACGATGAAGCCATAGAAAACGAGCCCCAAAATCAGGTTCACCTTCACAAGTGGCTCGGAGTAAGAAGGGTCAGTCAATATGTTGACTCTGGGTTTGATCTTCAGGGTGCTCTTCTGAGCTTTTGGAGCTGGAGCCTGAAGATTTTCTTTGAAGACGTTGTTGTCACCTTGCAATGCTTTTTGCTTGTAAGCCTGTAGATAAGGAATACGTTTCTCCACAATCATCTGTGGGACTTTAGCTTTACCTGGGAAAGTATCATCTTTCATCCTCTGAAGTTGTTCCAGCATCTGGTCCACTTGCACCATTTTGGTCCATTTTGCAACATTGGGGATGTCCTGAACAGGGTGGTCCTTCACTGGCATCAAAGGCCTGTGCTCTGGATCAGAAATCAGGGGCTCTACAAGCTCCGAGGGCTCTTTAGAATTTTTTGAGGAATATCCTTTTGTCAACTGGCCCACGTTACCTGGAGAAGAATCGTCTTTCACCCGTAAACTCTCAAGTTGTTCCAGCAATGACTTAAAATTGGTCTCTTTTGTAGCATCAGGGTTGTTCTGAACAGTGTGGTCCTTCACTGGCATCAACGGCTTGTGCTCTGGAACATAAATCAGGGGCAGGGACTCTACAAAGTCCGGGGGGTCTTTGACATTTTTTGAGGAATATCCTTTTGTCAACTGGCCCACGTTACCTGGAGAAGAATCGTCTTTCACCTGTAAACTCTCAAGTTGTTCCAGCAATGACTTAAAATTGGTCTCTTTTGTAGCATCAGGGTTGTTCTGAACAGAGTGGTCCTTCACTGGCATCAACGGCTTGTGCTCTGGAACAGAAATCAGGGGCTCTACAAAGTCCGGGGGGTCTTTGACATTTTTTGAGGAATATCCTTTTGTCAACTGGCCCACATTACCTGGAGAAGAATAGTCTTTCACCCGTAAACTATCAACTTGTTCTTTTGTAGCATCAGGGTTGTTCAGAATAGGGTGGTCCTTCACTGGCATCAAAGTCTTGTGCTCTGAAGACACCAACACATTTGCAGCAACAGGCGAAAGGAGACAGAAAATAACAGCCAACAATAACATCTTCATGTTGCACAGCCCACCCTTCTGGGAGAGCTGTGCCATTTTGATTAAAGAAATCATCTTTCAAAAGTAGGCAGTACAAATTACAAGTCAAACTACTAGTTGGCTAGCTGTGCTTTGTAAAAGTGAATTGGGTTTACTGTTCACTGTCAAACATACACAAGATATGGACCCAACATGATGTAATAGAAGAATCTGATTATAACATCACGTGTTCCAGAATGTTGTAACCTGCTCCTCATTGTATTCATTAATTCAGATAATTCATTAATTCATCTCTTTGGATACATTTGGCAATTAGTTTGACGTGCAGTCCCTGTCCCTAAACTGCTTTCTCCTACGACTTTGGCAAATGCCCCCGTGACCTACAGCTCCTCATATACTACCAGGTCATGGTAGTATCTACACTGGTGCTGGTGCTTGCGATGACCCAGCTAATTATGAGCTTTCTGACCCAGGGAGTGAGACAAACATACAGCTTTCCCATTCAATTCCGTGATTAAATAGGATGACCATTTTTCTTGGAACACTCTGCACTCTGTGTCCACTTTTCTCTTTTTTGACAGAGACATATTGGGGCAATGAGGGTGCCAAAGCACATAATGTTAAAAGTAGAAGCCGTAATAAATATCGCGGGCAAAACAAAGTAGCTCATTGGCTGCACGTGCTTGACCTACTTGCTCTGCCCCGGTATAAACAGTCTGCTTGCTTAACACAATTGCTATTGCGCCATCCAGTGGACGCAATTGGAACAGCAGTTTATTTTATTGAATTAAAGAAAAATAAAGATTATTATTATTATAATTTTTTTTAATCATCTCGCGGGCCGGATTAAACCCGTTTGCGGGCCTGATCCGGCCCGCGGGCCGTACGTTTGACACCCCTGTCTTAGAGACTTACCCAGGAAGACTCACAGCTGTAATCACTGCCAAAGGTGCTTCTACAAAGTATTGACTCAGGGGTGTGAATATTTACAGTATGTAAATGAGATATTTCTGTATTTCATTTTCAATAAATGTGCAACAATTTCTAAAAACATGTTTTCACTTTGTCATTATGGGGTACTGTGTGTAGGGTGAATTATTATAATTTTTTATCCATTTTGAATTTAGGCTATAACATAACAAAATGTGGAATAGGTCAAGGAGTATGAATACTTTCTGAAGGCACTGTAAATACTAATGGCAATAAATAATCAGCAGGTAGCCTAGTGGTTAAGTGCATTGGGACAGTGATTGAAAGGTTGCTGGTTCGAATCCCCGAGCCGACTAGGTGTAAAATCTGTTCTTATGCCCTTGAGCAAGGCACTTAACCCAAGTCGCTCTGTATAAGAGTGTCTGTAAAATGTACTCAATGGAGAGCAGTTTAATGGAGTAACACATCTAATCAATTATAATTTTAGCAGCAACGTAGGTTGTGTATGAGTGGGTAGAGACCTTTGGATGGGCATAGAGTCAGTGTGGATAGTCTGTGTGAGAGGAGCAGTTGTTAGTCATTTAACAGTCTTATGGCCAGTGGATAGAAGCTGTTTAGGAGTCTGTTTGTCTGAGCCTTGATGCACCGGTACCACCTACCGGACAGGAGCATGGAGAACAGTCCATGTCTCAGGTGGCCTTTCTCAGTCACTGCCTGGCATGTACGTCCTGGATGGCTGGGAGCTCGCCCCCAGTGATGTGCTGGTCAGTCCGTTCCGGTCGCGGGCGGTGCAGTTGCCATACCAGATGGTGATACAACCAGTCAGGATGCTCTCAATGGAGCAGCTGTGAAGGTTCCTGAGGATCTGAGGGGCCATGCCAAATCGTTTCAGCCTCCTGAGGGAGAAGAGGCATTGCCGTACCTTCTTCACGACTGTTCTGGTGGTACTAAAGAGAGTGACCATGTTAGTAAAGGTAAAATAGCCTATAGCATTCTGGACACATACTGTACATGTAGATGATCAACTTACTCTCTCTCTCCCTCTTCTTTTCTTTGCTTGAGAAACTTCAGAGCTGAGACCTCTGGCAAACGAGCAGCATTGTATTGGCAGAAACAGTGACTTTACCACAGTGCCAGTATTTGAACAAGCTCCCTTGTGATGTTCTCCCAATCAAAAGAAAGAGTTTTGATCAGAGTTTATTGCAGATTGCCAATGTTACATGAAACTTGCAATAAAAAAATATACATACTGTAAGAATGTACAGTATGTTTTGACATTGCACTTTGAGAATATTTTTGGACTGAACATTTTGATCATGAGATGCTTGCAATGTGCTGTTTGCTTTTCTGTTATAATTTAATGGATGTGCTTACAACCCCCAGGTTATATGTGTAGGCGTAATAACCTGGTTACAGGTCCGGCTATAATTAACGAATGAAAAGGTAGTTAACTGTAGATATGAATGCAAATCTCTCCAAATTAATGAGAAATTATTGGCTTTAATCAAGCTACTGTTTTAGAGCCATAGACTGCATCAAGTCATAAAACCAAATGTCACGTACGGCATCTATCACTCCTGTGATCTCTCCTGCTCTCACTCTCTCTCTATCCCCCTCTCCCTCACACCTTTAATGAAAAAGCAGATAGGGTGAAGTTCTTGGCATTCTGGAAACAATAATATTAACTGTGGATGGAGGATTGAGGAGGCAGCAGCAGAAGAGGAGAGGAGAGGGGGACGTGTGTGGAGATAAGATGGTATTCTCACTGTGCTAAAATGAGTTCATTAGGTAAGCGGTGGGTCTGAGAACCAAGCCGTGGCCTGATAAAGGGAACGGCGGTGGGGAAAAAAGTTTAATTTCCTGCCTTCACAGCTCCGACACATCAGGGAGGATCTAGAAGGGCCAGGGCCGGGTATAGCAGCACCAGTGGAGAGGCATCAGGAACCAGACGAGGGAGGGAGGGAGAGAAAGATACCAGGATTCACAAAGCAATCAAATAGAACAAAATGAAAAAAAGATAACTCATTGGAAAGGGAGTGAGGAGAACTCATGTCAAACAAGCCTATCAATCTAGTCTTTTAGTGAGAACGAGGGCTATCGTGTCAAGTACTGCCAAGAGGGGGCTGTCAAATTAACATATGTAAAAGCGGCAGGAGAGAGTCTGGCAGCCTTGTTCATGGGCCAAAGTAAGAGGTTTTAAAAGAAGACAGTGATATGATGTAGAAAACATCACATTGAAAAGGTCCAACTTAAGAAAAACGGAGAAATTAGGATATGAGAGGAGGGTATAGATAGAGGGACAGATGCAGAGATGGCAGGTAGGTAGAGGGGTAGGGAGGTGGTATGGTGTTTAATGTAAATCCAGTTTGATAACGCCAGACATAGAAACAGGAAGTTTCCATCACTCAGGGGATTGGAGCCCAGAGGAAATTGCTACAATAAAATTCACAGAGAGTTTCTCTCTCTCTCTGTGTGTGTACGTGTCTGTAAGTGTACGTACGTGTGTACAGGTTTGTTTGCACACGCTGCTGTGTCCTGTCCTTCATCTCATTTAGCAAACAGGTTGGTCTGTATCAACTGAAAAAAAGTGTATAGCAATGGGGAGTAGACAGGACATGACTGTGAGTGTCCCTAAGAGCATGTACCTCTGTGGTACAGGGATCAGGAGACACAATCGTAAACTAAAGCCAAACTAACCACCAGGGTCATATTCATTAGGCACCCAAATTATCCAAAAACCTATTGAAACAGGAAGGGACTACCTGACCTTGTCCAATAAGAAACCCTTGTTTTAGTGTTCCGTTGCAAAGTGTTTTGCTACGGTGTGCCCTGATTAATAAGACCCAAGACTGACCTCTGAACTCACACACAAAGTAACCTACATGCATCTCTCTTTGTGTGAGACTTGCACCTCAGATCATGGGCTTACTCACTAAGTATGGGCTCATGTGGCTTGAAACTCAACCATGTGTGTATCTGTGTGTTGTTGTCTAAGTGTGTGAACATCATGGAGCGTTTACTGAAGCTAGCGGCTGCAGGATTCATCCTTGATGACAGAGACCCCGCCCTGGCCTGTAGGCTGCAGCCATCACACAAGGCCAGCCCCAGGTCAGGTGGCACCACAATAGATGATGTCACCTCAGTGGTTCCACTTTGAACATCATGCTTTGTGACGGACAGACATGCCGTTGTATATGTTGTTTGGCCTGTACACTGCAATAGATGATTGAACTTCGCTGCCGATGCTGCGTAAAGCCACAATCCTTGATTCGTCATTATTCTTCATCAATCAATGGATATATAATTTGTTGAATAGACAGTAAGTATTGCACCTTTAAATTGTATTCTGTAGCTTTTCTCTTGTTCTCTACACTGTGGTCTTGAACTGCTCTCATTCAGGACAACAGTACAGGGTCTGAGAATAATCAAGCATTATCTTTAAAAGACAAAGCGGCGTATACAAACACTCTTATAATCATGAAGTGTGAGCCCTGGAATAGAGGGGAGACAACCGTGAACAAAAGGCTGCAAAAAGAGGGGTAGAGGAAATGACCAAGGGGTGAGCAACAGGACAGTGTGTGGCTTGTTTGTTTTTAACTGAGAATTAATCTCAGAAAGCCAGAACTAAAATGTTGCGTAATTGCTTTAGATGCTTAATCTGTTTTGGGGGAGATGTGTAATGCTGCGTTCATAACCAAGTGGGAAGGTGGTATTTACCACATATGACTGGGAAAAATCCACTTGAACGCCGCTTCAACTGGTAATTACTAGTGGGAAACTCTATCATCCCTGAGCTTCGACTTCTCCCACATGCTGACCTCTGACGTCACACCTACTAAGGAAATTACTTTGATAACAGCATTTTTGGCAGTTAAATGCAACCACAAAACATTATTTATAAAAAGCAATCTATTAATATGATTTTTTAACAGTATAATTTGTTTACACGCATGATAGCTGGGGGTGTAGTCATTACTGATTCTGTTGCAAAATGAAAGCAAACGGAACGAAACGAGGAGGGACCTACCTGAATTTGTCCAATAGAAACTCTTGTTCTCTTTGCAAAACACAACTGTTTGCAACAATTTGGTCTAACGGTTACAGCCCTATACTTTTCTTTTAGTTTATTAGCCAATGACCATTTCTCAACGAGTTCAAAGCACGTGAATGTATCCAACTGGCATTTACGACTTCACAACTGGTAATTACCACCTTTCCACTTGGTTACGAACGCAGCATTAGAAAATATACTATACTGAACAAAAATACAAACGCAACATGCAACAATTTCAAATATCTTACTGAGTCAATTTAAATAAATTCATTTGGCCCTAATATATGGATTTCACATGACTCCCCACCCAGGCCCAGCCAATCAGAATGAATTTTTCCCCACAAAAGGGCTTTATTACAGACAGAAATATGCCTCAGCACCCCCTCCACTGATCCCGCAGGTGAAGGAGCCGGATGTGGAGGTCCTGGGCTGACGTGGAAACACATGGTCTGCTGTTGTGAGGCCGATTGGACGACATTGGAGACGGCTTATGGTAGAGAAATGAACATTCAATTCTCTGGCAACAGCTCTGGTGGACATTCCTGGAGACAGCATGCCAATTGCACGCTCACTCAAAACTTGAGACATCTGTGGCATTGTGTTGTGTGACAAAACTGCACATTTCAAAGTGGCCTTTTATTGTCCACAGCATAAGGTGCACCTGTGTAATGAATATACTGTTTAATCAGCTTTTTGATATGGCACACCTGTCAGGTGGATGGATTATCTTGGCAAAGGAGAAACACTCACTCACAGGGATGTCAAAAATGTGTGCTCAAAATATGAGCAAAATAAGCTTTTTGTGCGTATGGAACATTTCTGGGATCTTGTATTTCAGCTCATGAAACATGGGACCAACACTTTACATGCTGTGTTTATATTTTGTCTTCGGAAAGTATTCAGACCCCTTGACTTTTTCCACATTTTGTTACGTTACAGCCTTATCGTAAAATGGATTTTAAAAAATCTATCTACACACATTGCTCCATAATGACAAAGCGAAAACAGGTTTATATACATTTTTGCAAATGTATTACAAATAAAACATAGAAATACCTTATTTACATAAGTATTCAGACCCTTTGCTATGAGACTCAAAATTGAGCTCAGGTGCATCCTGTTCCATTGATCATTCTTGAGATGTTTCTACAACTTGATTGGAGTCCACCTGTGGTAAATTCAGTTGATTGGACATGATTTGGAAAGGCACACACCTGTCTATATAAGGTCCCACAGTTGACAGTGCATGTCAGAGCAAAAACCAAGCCATGAGGTCGAAGGAATTGTCCGTAGCGCTCCGAGACAGGACTGTGTCGAGGCACAGATCTGGGGAAGGGTACCAAAAAATTTCTGCAGCATTGAAGGTCCCCAAGAACACAGTGCCCTCCATTATTCTTAAATGGAAGAAGTTTGGAACAACCAAGACTCTTCGTAGAGCTGGCCGCCCGGCCAAACTGAGCAATTGGGGGAGAAGGGCCTTGGTCAGGGAGGTGACCAAGAAACCGATGGTCACTCTGACAGAGCTCTAGAGTTCCTCTGTCGAGATGGGAGAACCTTCCAGAAGGACAACCATCTCTGCAGCACTCCACCAATCAGGCCTTTATGGTAGAGTGGCCAGACGGAAGCCACTCCTCAATAAAAGGCACATGACAGCCCGCTTGGAGTTTGCCTAAAGGCACCTAAAGACTCTCAGACCATGAGAAACAAGATTCTCTGGTCTGATGAAACTAAGATTGAACTCTTTGGCCTGAATGCCAAGCGTCACGTCTGGAGGAAACCTGGCACCATGTTTTTCAGCGGCAGGGACTGGGAGACTAGTCAGGGAAAGATGAACAGAGCAAAGTACAGAAAGATCCTTGATGAAAACCTGCTCCAGAGCGCTCAGGACCTCAGACTGGGGCGACGGTTCACCTTCCAACTGGACAATGACCCTAAGCACACAGCCAAGACAATGCAGGAGTGGCTTTGGGACAAGTCTCTGAACGTCCTTGAGTGGTCCAGCCAGAGCCCGGACTTGAAACCGATCGAACATCTCTGGAGAGACCTGAAAATAGCTGTTCAGCAACGCTCCCCATCCAACCTGACAGAGCTTGAGAGGATCTGCAGAGAAGAATGGGAGAAACTCCCCATGTGTGCCAAGCTTGTAGCGTCATACCCAAGAAGACTTGATGCTGTAATCGCTGCCAAAGGTGCTTCAACAAAGTCCTGAGTAAAGGGTCTGAATACTTATGGAAACTGTTTTTGCTTTGTCATTATGGGGTATGTTGTGTAGATTTATGAGGAAAAAGTCAAGGGGTCTGAATACTTTCCGAAGGCACTGTAGAACAAGGAGCAGAAGCAGGGAGGTAGTTCCACTCCCCCTCTCTCTGCAGTCTGAAAGTTTCGGCAGAGAGGAAGAAGCGAAGCGAGAGGATTTATTCCTCTCAAAATCTGTCCGTGAAAATAAGACCATGAAGTGAGGAATTTGTGTATGGAGGGCAATGAGTGTCGAATTTGGTCAACAGAAAATGGTATTGCTAATTTGCTATGTGAGGCTTATTTGATCAAATAGAAGTTTCATAATGGTTAAGTTGTAACGAATGCACTGATTTAAGTGGACGCACATGGCATTTTGGCAACTTTGGGGGATAAAATGTTATATCGGAGTGTTGTTCGCACGCATATCTGCCCTCTCATTGGCTAGAATGGTCCCACTTGATCTCGCCTCCTCCCGCCTGCCTTCCATCTTTGAGGACGTGAATTTCCATTGTTAAAGCGGTCCCTCGACTATCTTGTCAATATAACAGAAAATCTTTGACCCACCTCTCGATAACTAATTACCCGCCAATCACCCACACCTATGAGCAATCACTTATCAAGCCTAGCTGGTGCTTCAAGTACCTGGCCCTAGCTACTGCCCCTAGCGGTGGGATGTGTTTAGTGGAAAATAGACTGTCTAACTGTGCCCTCAGCACTAAACTACTTCATTCCTAAAACAATCTCAGAAATGAACCCAATTCAAATATTACAATGCTACAAAACATACAATGTTACAAAACATAAAAAATGGTGTTACAAAAGCATTGGGGGAAAAAAATGCAAGAGGCATAGCTACTCATTTACATCTTTACTTTATTTATCTATTAATTCATATATATTTATATCTTTCTTCTATACAGGTTTATTTCTCAATACAATATTTTACAGACGTACATAGATCATACATTATATAGGCTCGAGAGGTACGAGGGAGTGATTTTAACATCATCTTCATTGGATATTTTGGAGAAGAACAAGACAAGTTGAAGCACAGGTTACACACATTGGCATGCACACACTGACAGAGTTGACAAAGTCTGACACTGCTACTTCTGCTCATAATGTACACACACACACACACACACACGTATGCACACGCACACACACTTATGTATGCACGCTCGCACACACACATGCAAGGTGTCCTCTGTAGCTCAATTGGTAGAGCATGGCGCTTGTAACGCCAGGGTAGTGGGTTCGATCCCCGGGACCACCCATACGTAAAAATTTATGCACGCGTGACTGTAAGTCGCTTTGGATAAAAGCGTCTGCTAAATGGCATATTATTTATGCACGCTCACACACACGCACACCAATCCTGAGGTAAAATACCATTTCAAATCATTTCAAATACTTCAGATTTGATTGCCTGGTTCAAATGAACCAATAGAACAGTCGCAAACCTGCAAACCCCGCCCATCTGGCACGAGGCAGGCCAAAGAAAACACTAAAGTATTTGAAAGATTCCCTATAGTATTTGAACCCAGGTCTGAGGCACACACAAACATAATCCGTTCAAATAGAGTAGACAGGTATTCACAGAATAAAGAGATATACACCGATACCAAGACTCTCTTAATAAACACGTACGTCATACTTTTACTCTCATTCCAACACACAACAGATTATTAGGTAGAAAGTAAAGACAGATACCTATTTTTAGACGCATCCTTGAGGACTGAGCGATGGAGATGAAAATAGTTGTGATCGATATTTGGTTCCCACTATAGGCAGTTGACACGGAAATTGTGTTTTACATATTAAGAAACTAAATCAAACTAAATCGGCATGTCAGTTTATAGTAAATTAGATAAACAAATACATGAAAGCATACATAGATTTGACAGCAATAATAATTATTTAAAATAAATACACATCTTATATTGCAATAATATAACCAACGACTCCTTCTGATCTGCACAGGGTAGGTTCTCCTTCTGATTTGCACAGGGTAGGTTCTCCTTCTGATCTGCACAGGGTAGGTTCTCCTTCTGATCTGCACAGAGTAGGTTCTCCTTCTGATTTGCACAGGGTAGGTTCTCCTTCTGATCTGCACAGGGAAGGTTCTCTTTCTGATCTGCACAGGGTAGGTTCTCCTTCTGATTTGCACAGGGTAGGTTCTCCTTCTGATTTGCACAGGGTAGGTTCTCCCCACGTTCCTTCCATTTTTGTCTGACACACACACATACACACACGCACACACACAAAATCACCCAGGCACAAACACTCTTACACACAACATGCACACACACCAGAGCCTTCCATACTGCAGCTAAAGAATCCCCCCACATACAACTGGACAAAGCCTTGTGTTCTCTTCTGAACTTGTCTTTATGTTCCCCAACAGCCTGGGTATGCTTACAGAGCATAATCAGTACTGTAGTGCATCATGCTACACCAACATACAGCGCTTCACAGTGTGGAGACGCTCCGACACTCAACAAGGCCCTTTATAGTTTCAGCCATCCCATTCCCATTCAGAAACACTGACAAGCTCCCACCATGTCTTCCTAAAACATGACAACAGCTCACATCTGGAAATACCTGTAGAAATATCCATGTAATATTTGGCTTCATTTAGAAATGTAAAAAGATACCTGAATTTTGCAATCAATGTCCAGCTAAATATCTGAATGCAGAACTCATGAAACAAGGATAGAATATCAAATGGAGCAGTGAGATGAGATGTTTGTTTGTGATATAAAAATTGTTTAGTAGACCTGACAGAGTAGACAAGGAAGTGTGTGTGTTTATGCCTCATATTGTATGGATGGATCCCAATTGTAATGGACAGGTATAGACTTTAAAGGATGCATTATGTTTCAATAACAGTACACATGTCATTGTGCTGTCTCTGTCTGGTGGCTGAAATGCTCTGACCAGCGTGGGCCAGTATGAAAACAGTGATGACATTAGCCGTTAACGGTTAGCTAACAGAATGAGCCAGGAGGGAGATGACGGAGGAGGTGGGATGCTGCAGACAGTGTGGCCCAGCGCCCCACCTCAGCCCTGGGGTCAGTAGGATGGATGGGGTGCCTTTGTGCTGAAGTCTGCTGTGGGAGTTCTGGAGGAGAAGTGGGGGAGGGGACGAACCCTCCCTGGTCCTGCAGTTGTGCTCTATATCCAGCAGAGGGTGGTGTAGTCCACCTGGCCTGGTCAGACCACTTGATCAGACGGTGTGGGTGATGATAATGTCACTGTGAGGCCCACTGGGTACAGGGGTGATGCCCTTCAGGAGACGCTAAGGGATAAGGAAGGGAGGGACAGAAAAGAGAGGGGTAGTTTGAGCGCAAGAAGTAGTGCCTGGTATAACTGTGGCGTAACCCAACAGATCGTTCTTATTGAGTGCTGTCACACAGACTTGATGTCCTTCTGACCTCGCTCTGTTACATCTGTCTACGCTCACTGGCCGCAGCAGTAGGTTAGGCATACAACCCGCACACACGTAACACACACTAACACAGATGTATGACCAGAACACACACGTAACACACACACACCCCTCTGCTGACACTGTCTTTCAGTCCCATTGTGTGGTGTGGCACTAGGTCAAACACTGGGCTTACTGGATGACAGGTTTATCAAAGGCAGGGAGAGGAGGGAGGAAGGTGCTGTGTGTACCATGTCTGTATGTCTGTCTTCTCAAACAAGGAGCTGTTTTCTGGCTTGGCAACGTGACAGTGTGCAGGTGCCGCGGTGTCTGTCGCTTGTCTATGTTTGTGTGTGTGTGTGTGTGTGTGTGTGTGTGTGTGTGTCTAAACCGTAAGGTCTGGAAGCCGTCGTGGCTTGTATTCCTACTCTCTGCATCTCTCCCTTTGATTGTGCCCTCTGTTATTAGCCTGGTGATGGCAGGGGGACGGAAGGGGGACTGGAGGGGGAGAGGCCCACCCCAAGCCCTCTGGTGGCTCTTACCTGTTTAAAGGTCCCTTTGGTGGTGAGCAGGTGGTACACCATATAGGCTGGTACACAGATGAAGGAGGACACTCCGATGCAGTAGCCCAGAACAGTGGTCCAGGGTGGGTAGATGTAGTCAAACAACTTCACCTCCGGGGGGAACGCTAGGAAACTGATAATGATGAACTGAGGAGAGATGAGACATAGAGGAGGTGGTGTTTCGAACAGGTATATACAGCTGGTGTGTGTGTGTGTGTGTGCGCGGGGGGGCTCACCAGTAGGAAGATGGGGCAGATGGCTACCCAGCACACCCTCCAGAACAGTCCAGGGGAGAAGCCCAGCATCATATGGACATCAGCGCAGAAACGACTCGTGCCTGAAAATGGACACAAAGACACACAATTAAACACATGCACACACACTTTAGTGTCTCAATATGGAATAGAAATCAATCAATCGACTTATCAATCCATTGTCTTTATTGTCCCAAATGAGACATTTCTAGTGCAGTCAGGTTACAAACCAATCATATACACACATCCATTAAATCAACAACAAAAAAAGATGACTCCAAAAATATCAGACTATGTGACTATGTGGGCCAATATAATTGTCAGCTGTTTACCATAGAACCAGGAAACGGCGATGACTTCTAGGAAGACCACAGTGATGACAGCAGGTCCCGTGGCGTACTCCTCAAACAGTTTCACCACAAACGCACCTCCCTAAAACACAGTTCCAGAGAAACGCATGGGTGTTGGGAAACAAGCTATAGAGCCTATAGAGACTATAGCTATAGAGACATTTATACAGTAAATACTGCTGATGTTCCACTTTAGCTTATTTTCCACTTATTTCCCACCAGCATCGCTTCATGACATTTAGGAGATTATGGACATTGCTAAATAACCAGCAAAAAAACGGATTGGATGAAAGGACAACACCCTGGGTAATGAGCCAAGTGGACGGAGGCTGGGTGGAGTGGGACTGAGGCTGGGTGGGAGTGGGACCGAGGCTGGGTGGGAGTGGGACCGAGGCTGGGTGGGAGTGGGACCGAGGCTGGGTGGGAGTGGGACCGAGGCTGGGTGGGAGTGGGACTGAGGCTGGGTGGGAGTGGGACCGAGGCTGGGTGGGAGTGGGACCGAGGCTGGGTGGGAGTGGGACCGAGGCTGGGTGGGAGTGGGACCGAGGCTGGGTGGGAGTGGGACCGAGGCTGGGTGGGAGTGGGACCGAGGCTGGGTGGGAGTGGGACTGAGGCTGGGTGGGAGTGGGACCGAGGCTGGGTGGGAGTGGGACCGAGGCTGGGTGGGAGTGGGACTGAGGCTGGGTAGAGTGGGACTGAGGCTGGGTGGTAGTGGGACTGAGGCTGGGTGGGAGTGGGACTGAGGCTGGGTGGGAGTGGGACCGAGGCTGGGTGGGAGTGGGACCGAGGCTGGGTGGGAGGGGGACCGAGGCTGGGTGGGAGTGGGACCGAGGCTGGGTGGGAGTGGGACTGAGGCTGGGTAGAGTGGGACTGAGGCTGGGTGGTAGTGGGACTGAGGCTGGGTGGGAGTGGGACTGAGGCTGGGTGGGAGTGGGACTGAGGCTTGGTAGAGTGGGACTGAGGCTGGGTAGAGTGGGACTGAGGCTGGGTGGTAGTGGGACTGAGGCTGGGTGGGAGTGGGACTGAGGCTGGGTGGGAGTGGGACTGAGGCTGGGTAGAGTGGGACTGAGGCTGGGTGGGAGTGGGACCGAGGCTGGGTGGGAGTGGGACTGAGGCTGGGTAGAGTGGGACTGAGGCTGGGTGGTAGTGGGACTGAGGCTGGGTGGGAGTGGGACTGAGGCTGGGTAGAGTGGGACTGAGGCTGGGTGGGAGTGGGACTGAGGCTGGGTAGAGTGGGACTGAGGCTGGGTAGAGTGGGACTGAGGCTGGGTGGGAGTGGGACCGAGGCTGGGTGGGAGTGGGACCGAGGCTGGGTGGGAGTGGGACTGAGGCTGGGTGGGAGTGGGACCGAGGCTGGGTGGGAGTGGGACCGAGGCTGGGTGGGAGTGGGACCGAGGCTGGGTGGGAGTGGGACTGAGGCTGGGTGGGAGTGGGACCGAGGCTGGGTGGGAGTGGGACCGAGGCTGGGTGGGAGTGGGACTGAGGCTGGGTAGAGTGGGACTGAGGCTGGGTGGTAGTGGGACTGAGGCTGGGTGGGAGTGGGACTGAGGCTGGGTGGGAGTGGGACTGAGGCTGGGTAGAGTGGGACTGAGGCTGGGTAGAGTGGGACTGAGGCTGGGTGGGAGTGGGACTGAGGCTGGGTGGGAGTGGGACTGATGCTGAGTGGGAGTGGGACTGAGGCTGGGTAGAGTGGGACTGAGGCTGGGTGGGAGTGGGACTGAGGCTGGGTGGTAGTGGGACTGAGGCTGTGTGGGAGTGGGACTGAGGCTGGGTGGGAGTGGGACTGAGGCTGGGTGGGAGTGGGACTGAGGCTGGGTAGAGTGGGACTGAGGCTGGGTAGAGTGGGACTGAGGCTGGGTAGTAGTGGGACTGAGGCTGGGTGGGAGTGGGACTGAGGCTGGGTAGAGTGGGACTGAGGCTGGGTAGAGTGGGACTTAGGCTGGGTGGTAGTGGGACTGAGGCTGGGTGGGAGTGGGACTGAGGCTGGGTAGGAGTGGGACTGAGGCTGGGTGGGAGTGGGACTGAGGCTGGGTGGGAGTGGGACTGAGGCTGGGTGGGAGTGGGACTGAGGCTGGGTGGGAGTGGGACTGAGGCTGGGTGGGAGTGGGACTGAGGCTGGGTGGGAGTGGGACTGAGGCTGGGTGGAGAGGAGACTCACGTAGGTGAGGGTGGAGAGGGCTCCCAGGTAGCAGACACACACCAGGCCCAGGACAAACCACTCCCTCCTCCTAGACAACAACTGGGGGAACTCATCCAGCATGGCTGTGATCACCCCCTCCAGACCGGCAAACTATACAGGGAGACAAGAAGGAAGAAACATTAAACTGAAATTGAATTGAGAGGAGAAGCTCAGAGGAGAGAGAGAGAGAGAGAGAGAGAGAGAGAGAGAGAGAGAGAGAGAGAGAGAGAGAGAGAGAGAGAGAGAGAGAGAGAGAGAGAGAGAGAGAGAGGGAGAGAGAGGGAGAGAGAGAAAAGGAGAGACAGATGGAGAGTGATGAGTGAGAGAGAGAAGAAAAATCACAGCGCAGCTATAGAAAATGGCAATAAACAGCAAACCCAGACAGAAAGACCAACAGACACAAACTGTTTCTTCAGCATAATAATCAATTCTGTTGACAGTACCCCCCACCCCCCACGCTATGAGCCTGATTGGCTGAATACACACTCAACACAACCTGAGCCTGGGTTAAATAAATTAGTACACATAATAGAAGTACAATTATGTAAGAACAGAGAACTGATAAAAAAACAGACAATCGATTTGAAAACCAGTCTAATAATTCTGTGTGAATACTGTGTGTGCTTGTTTGTGTTTGTGTGTGTGTGTGTGTGTGTGTGTGTGTGTGTGTGTGTTTGTGCACGCGGATGTATATTTGTATTCATCTGTGTGTGCACGTGTGTGTTTATATGTGCCACTGACCGTGCTGTCCAACCCCAGCATGATGATCATGAGGAAGAAGATGATGGCAAAGAAGGTGGCAGCGGGCATGTTGGCGATGGCTTCAGCATAGATGATGAACAGCAGACTGGGACCTGGCAGAAGAGACAGACAATCAACACGTTAGGAAAGGGTACACATACGCATGGTCGAAATGTGGCATCCTACCTGTCCTCTTTTATGTTTGAAACCACTTAAGGCATTGTAATTATTTTCATACGGGTCCCTGAGGCTTTTATATGTGGTATTGGGTCTTTATCAAAAAGGAATAGTGAGCACTTAGTCCTGTCTTGATGTATGCGAGCGTAACTAGAACCGTAGCAGAGAATTTGTTATGCGCTCTCTTGGAACTCTCTTTCTTATGTTAGGATTATCCACGGTCTGGTCTGTACTCACTTGCCAGATTTCAATTACTGTCTGAACTCAGATAACCTCTGAACTATCTGGGCCTGTATTCCTAAAGCGTATCAGAGTAGGAGTGCTGATCTAGGATCAGTTTTCCGTTAAAGGTCCAATGCAGCCGTTTTTATCTCAATATCAAATCATTTCTGGGTAACAATTAAGTACCTTACTGTGATTGTTTTCAGTTAAATGGTCAAAAAAGACTAGCTGTTATTGGCAGAGAGGTTTGGAACTCTTTCTTATTGGTCAACACAAATGTACCGCCTGGTGATGTCACCAGGCAGGCCAAAACTCCATCCCACCAAAACAGGCTGAAATTTCAGGTGGTCTTTTCAAACAGTTCTTACACTAAAATGGCATTATCATCATTTTCACAGAATTATTCCAACCTCATAGCGTGAAAATATATATAAAACACAGGAAAATCATGTTTTTGATTGCACTGGGCCTTTAAGATCATATTGAATAAGATTATAAGGGAAGAGGGAGGACACCTGATCCTAGATCAGCACTCCAACTCTGAGACTCTTTATGAATACAGGCCCTGATGTTAAAAAAAGAATCATACAACAACTACTGCATATGAAAAGTAGATTTTCAATTTGGGATTTGATTGATTGATTTACCAGCATCCTTGGCTACGGACTCCACGCCTATTTTGCGCATCTCAGCCATGTAGCCGAGCACGGTAAAGATGACAAACCCAGAGAGGAAACTGGTCAGGCAATTCACCGAGCTGGTCACCAACGCATCCCTGAGAGAGAGGGAGAGGGAGAGGTAGAGAAAGAGAGGGGGGGGGGGGGGGGGGGGGGGGGGGTGAAGAGGGTGATGGGAGAAAAAATAGTGGATTAACAACAAGTCACAGGCTAAATAAACCAGATGGCAACGTGGAGAAATACATTCCATACGGCAGATTCATAAACAGATTCTACTGTATGAAGAGAAATGGAGTCTCACTTGTAGCAGTTGTTGTGAAAGGGGTTGTAGCTGGCAAAGGCCAGGAGCACCCCGAAACCTGGCCCCAGAGAGAAGAAGATCTGAGCTGCTGCATCAATCCATACCTGGAGGGAGAGGGGGAGAGAGAGAGAGAGCGAGAGAGGGGTGGATGAGAAAGCGGGAAGGAGACAAACTACAGATAAGGAAGACATCAGGCAGTAAGATTCGGTGTCAGTGTGTTGTATGATGACACAAGATTGTCTGGAAACCTAAACCAATAGTGGGCCAACTCACTGTGGTGCTGAGTAGTTTCCCCCAATCAGGTTTGAGGTAGAAGACCACGCCCCTCCAGGCCCCGGGCAGAGTAGCCCCACGAACGAGCAGCACCAGCAGGACAAGGTAGGGGAAGGTGGCTGTCACCCACACCACCTGAGAGAGAGGGGTGGGGGAGAGAGAGAGAGAGATAGAGGGGTGTGAGAGAGAGATAGAGGAGTAGGGGAGAGAGAGGGGTGGGGGAGAGAGTGGGTGGGTGTGAGAGAGAGAGAGATAGAGGGGTGGAGGAGAGAGAGAGAGAGGAAGGAAGAGAGATTGACAGAGAGAGAGAAGGGCAAGTATGAATAGAAGACATCAGTGAGAAATAGAGTTCACAGTATTTACCTACTGTTACCTACTGTTAATCTACTGTTTCTCCATCCCTTCTTCCCCCTCTCCGTCCCCCAGCTGTGCTCACCTTGCCAGAGGTCTTGACTCCCTTCCAGATGCTGAAGTAGACAATGGTGAAGATGAACAGGAGACAGAGAGCCAGCTGCCAACTCACACTGCCAAGCTGGTGCAGACCTGGAGACATGTGCACCTGCAGTACCTGACGCCTATACGGAACAGAGGAGAGAGGGATGACCGAAATGGATGAGGAGAGGAGGGCAAAGACAGAGGAGTGAGGAGAGAGGGGGATGAGAGATGAGGAGATGGGGGAACAATCAGGGAGAGGAGAGGGATTTTCGGGAAGAGAGGAATCAGCGAGAAGAGAGAGAGATGAGCGGGAAAAGAAGGTTGAGAAGAGGGGGATGAGACAGAATAACAGAGAAAGGAGCCATTTATGATCAAGAGAGAATAGGAAAAGCATTCGTACATCTGAGGTTGGCAGGTTCCTTGTAGCAGATATGTGGGAATAATTTGATGGTATTTTGAAAGAAAAGAAACAGTTGCTCTTGCCAGTATCGCTTGTGTTTATTTAGCTTAGGTATCAGCCTCACGGCGAAGGCCGCTCAATTAACGCAGTGTGCAACTTTTTATTTTATTTCCAGGGTCATAAAAGGAAGAAAGTAGGCAAGAGATAGATACAAAAAAATTGAATAAACATATTGTAGATACATGATGCTGACACAACTGAATAAGGATATAAGGTAACTTGGCACGGTGAAAAATGATCGAGCGACAGAGATCTATAGCTAGATGCCAGTTTACCAGTTAAGAAAACATACCGGATGAAAAAAACATGGGAATTCTGGTGCCAGACATAAGCCAGAGGAGTTTTACCTGCATTAGAATAGAGTAAACCTTGACAGAGCACCACATCTCTCTTAGTGGGATAGATAGGGGTGAACCAGAAATTCCATAGAAATACAATTACTACAATTACTTAACAGACCCCCCCCCCCCCCCCACTGCTGCTACTCGCTGTTTATTATCTATGCATAGTCACTTTACAAATGACCTCAACTAACCTGTACCCCCGCACATTGACTCGGTACCGGTACCCCCTGTATATAGCCTTGTTATTGTTATGTAATTTTCTTGTGTTCATTTTTGATTTTATTTTTTTACTTTAGTTTATTTAGTAAATATTTTCTTAACTCTATTTCTTGAATTGCATTGTTAGTTAAGGGCTTGTAAGTAAGCATTTCACGGTAAGGTCTACGTCTGTTGAATTCGGCACGTGACAAATAAAATGTAATTTGAAGTCAATGATGAGAGCAGTCAGCTTCCCGTGGTCTGAGGGAGTTTTTTCAATGCTAGTAATTCCCTACCTCTCCCTCTCCATCCTCCTCTCCCTCCCCCTCTCCCTCTCCCTAGCAGGAAGATCGGAATCCCGTGAACCAAAAGGTTGTGAGTTCATGTTTATTAATAATTACTGTATAAATGAACATGCACAATGTAAACATGTATGTCAAGCTGTGTCAAATATGTAAGTTGAAAACATTGCATGTTAAAAGCACTGTTTGTGTGTGTGTATGTGTAACCAGTTGCACAGCCTTTTTAGTTACTGTTGATGCACAAATAATAGTTGAATGAACAAATTGAGCAAACATCATTTTATGTTGACAGAATTTTGGCCTAAGTTCTCAAGTTGGAGCTAGGTTTGGGCCAACTAAACATTTTAAGTTCAGGTAACACTTTAACCAAAAAGTTGACTAAACTAAAAAAGCCTGTGGAACCAGTTACTAATTACTAATTAGTTGAAACAACTAGAATTGTTTTCAAGTGTAGCCATCAACCGGCTGTATACCCTATAGGGAACATCTCTCCTCAATTTAGTACCTACTGCCTCCTCAATCAATCCCTCTTATTTCTTACCTCCATTCTATCTGCCACGTCTTCTCCCTATCTCCCTCCACCTATCCATCTTCCATATCTGCCTTTCATCCACCCATCCAGTCACTGTCCTCTCTGTCTCTACTCCGTCTCTTCTCTATGGAACCTATCATGCCGTCTACCCCTCCCTCCTCTACTGTCCCTGGTATCCCTTTGCTCTTCCCTCCATCCTACCTTGCACTTCCATGTCTTGACTTACGTATAGAACTCCTCGGCGGGCGAGGTGGAGGTGTTGGTCCAGGTGACGTTGCTGTCGGTGGACAGGTAGTGGAGGCAGTTGACCGTGTTCCAGGGGTTGGAGCACGTGGTCCAGGGCAGGGTGGGCCGGAATGACGCCAGGAGGTAATACAGGGCCCACGCCATGATGGTGTTGTAGTAGAACGCTATGTACAGCGCTATGATGCAGATGGCGAAGCCGATACCTTTAGCAGAAATAATAATAACACTTGACTTAAAGACTCTATAGGTACAATGCATTACAATGCAGTTATTATAATGCATTGTCAGACTTGTCATGAGCCTGTATAACCCCTTTATCATGTCCTATAATCCTATATAGATGGTGAAGCTAATACCTGGTGGAAAGAGAGAATGAGAGTTTGTGATGGAGAGAAGAGAGTTTGTGATGGAGAGAAGAGAGTTTGTGATGGAGAGAAGAGAGTTTGTTTTTACGTTAGGATTAACCCAGGTATGAATGAGAGAGGAGGCAGAGAGTGGGGTAGAGTGACAAACGAGGCAAGTGGTGGAACCGGGTATTGAACTGGTTGCACTACCGCTAGACCAGACTCCGACCAGATGAGAAGAGAGTTTGAGATGAAGGTGTGTTCTGTATTGTGGCGTTGGTCAGTTCGGTCGGTGCTCAGTCGCTCCCTCCATCACTCAGAGATCTATACCTATCTATCTATTTTCAAGCTAACTCAAGTTCAACTCAAGTAGGAGTTGACATTTGGAAACAACTGGGATTTACATAACATCATGTTTCTAAGCATGCTGGCATTTCCGTGGGAAATGTGACAATTTCCATAACAGAGAGCTGGACATCATAACATCAAGGGGATGCAGAGGCTTTCATGAGGAATGTGCCGAAGGGGTTGGGGAGTTCATGTTATCTGTCTCTCAGACATTCACTTATCTATCTGCTGTAACAGGCAGCTAGCTGGTCACTGTCTCTCTGGATATGCCACTCCACTCTTCTCCTCTTCTCTCCTGACTCCTCTCCTCTCCTGACTCAAATCAAATACATTTTTATTTGTCACATGCGCCGAATACAACAGGTGTAGACCTTACAGTGAAATGCTTACTTACAAGCCCTTAACCAACAATGCAGTTTTAAGAAAGAATACAACAACAACAAAAATCACACAAAAAAATACAATATAAAATAATACGAAATAAAAGTAATAAATAATTAAAGAGCAACAGTAACAATAACAATAGCGAGGCTATATACAGGGGGTACCGGTACCGAGTCAATGTGCGGGGGCACCGGTTAGTTGAGGTAATTTAGGTAATATGTACATGTAGGTAGAGTTATTAAAGTGACTATACATAGATAATAAACAGAGCGTAGCAGCAGAGGGGGCAATGCAAATAGTCTGGGTAGCCATTTGATTAGATGTTCAGGAGTCTTATGGCTTGGGGATAGAAGCTGTTTAGAAGCCTCTTGGACCTAGACTTGGCGCTCCGGTACCGCTTGCCGTGCAGTAGCAGAGAGAACAGTCTATGACTAGGGTGGCTGGAGTCTTTGACCATTTTTAGGGTCTTCCTCTGACAACGCCTGGTATAGAGGTCCTGGATGGCAGGAAGCTTGGCCCCAGTGATGTACTGGGTCGTACGTACTACCCTCCGTAGTGCCTTGTGGTCGGGGGCCGAGCAGTTGCCATACCAGGCAGTGATGCAACCAGTCAGGATGCTCTCGATGGTGCAGCTGTAGAACCTTTTGAGGATCTGAGGACCCATGCCAAATCTTTTCAGTCTCCTTAGGGGGAATAGGTTTTGTCGTGCCCTCTTCACGACTGTCTTGGTGTGCTTGGACCATGTTAGTTTGTTGGTGATGTGGACACCAAGGAACTTGAAGCTCTCAACCTGCTCCACTACAGCCCCGTCGATGAGAATGGGGGCGTGCTCAGACCTCTTTATTTTTCCTCTCCTGACTCCTCTCCTCTCCTGACTCCACTCCTCTCCCGACTCCTCTCCTCTCCCGACTCCTCTCCTCTCCTCTCCCGACTACTCTCCTCTCCTCTCCCGACTCCTCTCCTCTCCTCTCCCGACTCCTCTCCTCTCCCGACTCCTCTCCTCTCCCGACCCCTCTCCTCTCCCGACCCCTCTCCTCTCCCGACCCCTCTCCTCTCCCGACTCCTCTCCTCTCCCGACTCCTCTCCTGACTCCTCTCCTCTCCCGACCCCTCACCTCTCCCGAACCCTCTCCTCTCCCGACTCCTCTCCTCTCCCGACTCCTCTCCTCTCCTCTCCTGACTCCTCTCCTCTCCTGACTCCTCTCCTGACTCCTCTCCTCTCCTGACTCCTCTCCTCTCCTGACTCCTCTCCTCTCCATAACACTTATAAAAAATAGTTTTGACAAGCTTCATTGTGTTAACAAAATTAGTAAAATTCCCCCCCCCCCCTCCCCCCTCCCCCCTCTCTTCTCTTCTCCCCTCCTCTCTTCTTACCCTTGAAAATGGGGCAGATGTGTTTCCAGATGGAGATGCAGCCGCTGCGGTGGAACTGCCCCAGTGCCAGCTCCATGTAGAACAGAGGCACGCCACCGAATACCGCCATCAACATGTAGGGCAGCAGGAAGGCCCCTGGGACAACAGAGAGGAGACAGAAGGGAGGGGGGAGAGAGAGGGGAGGGGGGGGAGATAGACAGAGGGAGAGGTGGGGGAGAGAGAGGGGTGGGGAGATAGACAGAGGGGAGTGGGGGGAGAGAGAGGGGTGGGGAGATAGAGGGGAGTGGGGGAGAGAGAGGGGTGGGGAGATAGACAGAGGGGAGAGGGGGAGAGAGAGGGGGTGGGGAGATAGAGGGGAGAGGGGGAGAGAGAGGGGTGGGGAGATAGACAGAGGGGAGAGATAAAGGGGGAGATAGAGAGGGAGGGGGAGAGAGCGAGAGAAAAAAAAATAGAGGGTTGGGGTATAGCGAGTAAAAATTATTTCATTCATGAGTCAAAAATATAAACTCCCCATGTTTCATAGCTGGACTCTTTGCCAGATTTCTACACACCTCATCTAACAACAACTGACAACATCTGGAACATTAAACATTGACCTGTACCTGACCCTAAAGAGCAAGGGGAGTGAGGGGAGGAATTGGAAATGTCAGAGAGAAAGAAATGCCGAACCCTGGAGAGTACCAGGGAGATAGGCTCCAGTCCAGACAAGCCCCTGTCTCTCTCTGTATTTGATTAGGAATTTAATATTTGTGTGGTTGACATGAAAGCAAAGATAACTGTTGATTGAGTAGCTGGGACTAGGAGACAGAGAGACAGAGAGAGACAGAGAGAGAGAGGAGAGAGAGAGAGAGAGAGAGAGAGAGAGAGAGAGAGAGAGAGAGAGAGAGAGAGAGAGAGAGAGAGAGAGAGAGAGAGAGAGAGAGAGAGAGAGAGAGAGAGAGAGAGAGAGAGAGAGAGAGAGAGGGAGAGATAGAGACAGAGACAGAGAGAAAAGAGATTGAAGCCCCTCTCATAAAAGCAGACAATTAATAGTGTTGCTTCTATCAAGTGTCTCCCTGTCTCCATCTCTCTCTCTCTCTCTCTCTCTCTCTTTCTTTCCCTCACTCCCGCTAAGCAGAGAAACAGGATATTGCAAATATTCAATAAATTCAATAAAATGGAATCGGAGGCCCGTATTTGATGTGAGGAGGAGAGTTGTAGAAAGGCAGGGAGGACAACAGAGTTCCATTGTAAACATCTGGGAACATTAGAGGAACATTCATTTATTGTTGTTTTCATTACAGAAGACATAAGGTTTAACGTGTATGTATTTACCCAGTGCTATTTCTATCCGAGGTGTAAATGTTCATTTGATCAAGGTTTTGGTTGGTTTGAATGGTCTGTGTTTTCCAGACTCTGTGTCCGATTTATCCATCTGGTTTTATGGTTCTTTATCTAGCTATATGATTGTGTGAAAAGATGTTGGGTGGACAACTATATTCAAACTATATTCAATGCATTAATGCTTATTTTTACCAGTATACTGTAAATGGTTTAGTTGTATCTGTCATTTTCCTTAACCTCCCTTTCCCCAGCTACAGATTCTCTCCTTTCCAGTGTTATTTTCTCCCTCAACCTGGGTCGTGTTCATTAGGCACCAAACGGAAGAAAACAGCTTGAAACAAGGAGGGAGTACCTAGACTTGTCCAATAAGAAATGCTTATTTTAGCTTTTTGCAACAGCGTGCTCAAATGAACAGGGCCCTGGTCTCACCTCCGCCGTTTTGGTAGCAGATGTAGGGGAAGCGCCACACGTTTCCCAGATCCACGGCGTAGCCAATCACAGACAACAGAAAGTCCATCTTCTTGCTCCAGGTCTCCCGGGGCCGGTCCAGACTGGTCTGCTGGACCACTAGAGTCCTGAGGGCCCCTGCGGGTACACCCCCCGCTACCTCCTTGGGGCTCTGCGCTGTGGACGTGGGGTACCCGTTGGACACCACTCCTGACCCCCCACCAGAGTTCACTTTGGGGTCCCCCTTCTCTGCCAACCCTCCGTCAGCCAGCATGAGTCTGCCGTTCTCCTGAGATGACTCCTCCCCTTTCTCTTTCTCTCCTCCTATCATCATTGACTGCTTCATCTCCATGGTGATGGCCGGTGGTTAGGGGTGTGGTGTGGTTGTTAGCGGCGACGGTGGACTTGTGGCACGGTGTGATGAGGTGCCCATCAGGGGATGAGGGGTATCAGAGTGAGAGAGATAGAGATAGAGATAGAGATAGCGAGAGAGAGAGATAGAGAGCGAGATAGAGAGAGAGAGATAGAGAGAGAGAGATAGAGAGAGATAGAGAGATATATATATATATATATATATATAGAGAGAGAGAGAGCAGGTGTGTCTGGGCCAGGTGGGACACTTGGACTGGCTCCACTGCCTTCTATGACAAACGCCAGTGGGGACACAACCTGTACCAGACTGCAACACAAACACAACATCACTTGTGTTATTTACCATTGTGTTAACAACAAGACATGTTAAGAAATGTAAATGCTTTTGGAATTACTTGTGTCTTTTCCCTCGAATGGTTTGTGCTCTTTTTTATCGGCTTCTCTGGAATATCCTGAGTGGTTAGTTAACACAGGGAATGATGGAGAGAAATGGGTGAAGACACTGAGACTGACTGGTAATATGTCAAGATGAGGTTAAAAGTGCGAAACACTGGGGGAAATGTGAAATCTGAAAGTCCCTGCCAAATAAGGCCTAAGGGGATTCTGCTAGAACACGTTTGTTTATTTTCTTTCTTGACATTGTTGTAACTGCTGAAGCTACAATCACATCTGATTTCTTGGGTCTCTATACCTTTGGAGATGAAATATGAAAGTTGAACTTCACCACATAAATTAGATGAAAAGGGAAAGGATATACAGGCAGCAATAAGATTTGAAAGGAAACAGTTTGAAGAAGTACATAGTTTGATAGATGAAATCAATGTGCAGTCAGTGTGTTAAGGCATTGTGGAACGAGTTGATAGGGTCATACGCGTCCAAAAACCAGCCGACTTCCTCTGATTTTGCTAACGAAAATTGTTACTTCATACCCTGATAACACATATTATATAAGAAAACATGTATCACTGACATATTCTTCTTGTACAGTACTTTGTCATAATTTTTCTTTGACAGCATAAGTATAATCAAGATATCATAGTTTAAAACAATTATAATTTCTGAACTTCAAACGACTGGTTAAATCAAATTAAGAAATACTTAAGAAACGTAATGTCTAACTACTTTGTATGTTTAACTCCTTTTTTATTTTTTATTTTTAACTACTTTTTAAATGTATTTTTATGTTTAACTACTTTTCAGCGTGGCCACAGTAGATATTTACCACAGTTATATGCAAAGTATCCAACAGGAGCATTTCTCCTGTCTGTTCCATTGCGTTGCCTGATTTCTTAGTTTAATTTTATTACTGTAACTACCCTTCATTCTGGGGCATTTTAATGTCCATTATTATCATTATCATTTTCATTTCATTTAATCCATATATGTTAGACAAAGTATGTCTTAGCAATAGACTGAAAAAGTAGTGTACTAAAGTAATGTAATATTGGTGTAATGTACAGACTCACAATAAAGTAATTTAATAAAGTAGTGTCCTAGTGTAATGTAATATTGGTGTAATGTACAGACTCACAATAAAGTAATTTAATAAAGTAGTGTACTTGTGTAATGTAATATTGGTGTAATGTACAGACTCACAATAAAGTAATTTAATAAAGTAGTGTACTAGTGTAATGTAATATTGGTGTAATGTACAGACTCACAATAAAGTAATTTAATAAAGTAGTGTACTTGTGTAATGTAATATTGGTGTAATGTACAGACTCACAATAAAGTAATTTAATAAAGTAGTGTACTAGTGTAATGTAATATTGGTGTAATGTACAGACTCACAATAAAGTAATTTAATAAAGTAGTGTACTTATATAATGGAAAATTAGGAGAGATTCTTGTATATGATGATTATTAACTGTCGGTGAAACCACATGCTATCCTACTCCTTACTAGCCTTCCTCTTCCACAATGTATTTATTCACATTATTATGAAGCTATTTTCTTCCAACAGAAAAACTAAAATGAAACTGATAAAAGACGTCTCCTGAGAGATGTAGTTTGTGACAGGGCTCTAAATCATACCACGTTTTTCTATGTTTGAATTTCACATTGAAAGACAAAATCATTGTAAAAAACTTGTAGACTGATCAGTTTTAACAATGATCATAAACATAATTAATTAAATATCCACTATATTACATTGACTCAAGATGCACTCACATTTCTTATTTTGCCGTTTGTTTTATTTACAAACGTTGACCACATACCCCTCTTAAAAAGTCCCATGAGTTGAGTAAGAAACTAGTTTAAACTGTGAAAAAGGAAGGAAAAAAAGCTTTTGGAGCTAATCCGCTCGTTTATACTCATTTCCTTCAATTGGAATTTAATGGGAAAGGGAGAGTTAATTCGAATGGAATGCCATTATCCCAATTAAAAGTAATTGTCCAGCAATTCTCCATGGAATTCCAGTCCGTACCCCTAACAGTCATGCAGAATGCTCCTATTAAAGCTGCATAGGGCACCTGGACTGACAACAGATTACATATAGGAGGTGGAAGCAGAGCCTTTGATGGATTTTCATAAATAAAGATGAGAAAACAACAGCTGGAAGAAAGAGTGCCCCACAAATAGACACTGACTGATAACGTGCAGCTGAAGCACTTGGGGTAACAATTAGTTCAAATAAATTAGATAAATTAAACTTGCTCTAAAGTACTGTATTTTTGACTTTCTGGGTTGCCGTACTTACATTAGCTCATCACTGAGTAACATCAAATAACCACTTCATAATCAAAGATATTCCAGCTGAGAATTAAATCATTGAACAACATATTTGAAAAATCATTGCGATCAGATCCCACAAGAATCCTACAAGTTCTGAAAATAGGAGCAATTTGGAGCTATGAAGAAAAAGCACTTTTGTCAAAGTTATCATAGTGTAAGCTTGCAAGAAAGGCATTTCACTGTACTGTACACGTGACATTAAAAACTTGAAATTAAAACACTAATATAGGG